CTTCAGTTCTAAAGCAGATCAGGGAAGAATGATGAATTTTCTTTGGAATCACAGGATAGCATATTAACAAAGATACATTATTAAAGCTCTAATATTTACAGATCACAAAGAAGCTTTTATCTTTGACTTGTTTGTTTGTTTTTGGAAACAGGGTTTTTCTGTACCTGTCCTGGAACTCACCCTGTAGACCAGCCTGGCCTTGAACTCACAGAGATCCACTTGCCTCTGCCTCCCTGAGTGCTGGGATTAAAGATATGTGACTTTTAAAACCAGCTTTCCACTATTGGAATATCAGTGAGCTGCTAAAATCTACAGGGAATAGTTAGGTGGGCACTTACACACTGCTAGTGCAAGCTGAGCTTGATTATCTTACTGGATGTATTATGGTAAAGTATGTGAGGTCATTTGGTCATTTCTTAGCAGTCGACTTTGTTATCCTGGTCTGAGCCCCAATTTTATAATTGCCATCTTGATAGGAAATAGAATCCATGTAAGAGCCAAACTTCCCTGAAGGTGTTCCTAGACTGGGCTAATTGAGGTGGGAAGATGTAACTAACTGTGGGTGGCATCATATTATCTGAATAAAAAGGGGAAAGCAAGCCAACTACCAGCATCATCTCTCTGTTTTCTCTCCTGTCAGGACCTCCCACCCCGAAGGACTGTTACACTTAAATTGTGAGGCAGGGTAAACCCTGCCTTAAAGTGTTTTTCTGAGATATTTTGTTACAGCAAAGAGGAAAGTAATTCCACCTCCCAGACTTAGGGCCTCTGAACTTAGTTGTTTGGGTTTTTGTTGTTGTTTGGTTTGGTTTGGTATGGTTTTAATCTAAAAGACTTTTTCTACCACTATCTACTTAGTTGCCACATAGTTTCCTTCAAACCTTTGGATATGGAACTTTTCAGTATATTTTACCCTAATTATTGTTTAGTATTTCAGTGACCTAATTCCAGTGCATTTCCTCTTTGTTTTTTTGTTTTTGTTTTTCAAAACAAAGTTTCTTTGTGTGGCCCTAGCTGTCCTGGAACTGACTCTGTAGACCACTCTGGCCTGGAACTCTGCCTCCCAGATGCTAGAATTAAAGGTGTGACCTACCACTGCCCAGTTTATTCTAGTGTATTTTTTATATTCTTACCATTTCTGCTTTCTTTTGTCCATACTCAGAATTTTGTTTTAATATTTTTCCAGTGTCTTTTTCAGCTCCCTTAGAATATAAGCCCCATTCGAGCAAACATGTTTGTTTTATGCATTGATACAGTTCTCTAATCCAGTGTTTGACATAGAGTAGATACTAAAGTATATATTGATGGATGAACTTTGGGACTAGCCCTGTGAAGCTGGTGAAGTGGTTCACACATGCACAAGGATTGGCAAAATTTTTGGAGTTCTAGACTAGCCTGAGCTACAAAAGAAGATCCTATCACAAAACAAACAACAACAAAAACCTACCAACACTTGCTGGCAGCCACTGTCCATGCCAGACTCTTCTCTTTCACACACCTTACTCTGACAGCCATGTTTGAAAACTCAGTATGTGAGAGATTGAGAAATTTTATAAGTTGAAATCGAAAAAGACAGAAATCCTCTACCTTCAAAAGAAAGGCTGGAACAGGAGAAACAAAATAGGCAAATTGTTGTAATGAGTCAGATAATACTGGTATGCCACAAGCATTGCCTCTTGATTTTATTTCCTTTTTTATTAATTAATTGATCAAGCATTTTGCCTGTATGTATACCTGTGCACTACAGACAGAAGCAAGAAGGGGCACCAGATCCTCTGTAGCTAGAGCTACAGGTAGTTGTTAGTTGCTCTGTGGTCCTGGGAAATGAACCCTCATCCTCTGAAAGAGCAGCCAGTGCTCTTAACTGCTGAGCCATCTCCCCAGCCTCAGATTTTACTTCTTTTAGCTGTTTAATTTTGTGAGCAGCAACGAGGTTGAGTCAGGTTTAAATGATCATATTATCCCTTTCACATTAAAGAACCAAGCAGCACTGACAATGAAGGCTAGCCTGGCAGTCTGGCTGGCAGGGAGGGAGAAGATGAGTGAGAGTTGTTAAAAGTCTCAAGTAAAATGCAAAAGACGCAAGGTGTTCTGAGATCTGTAAAATGTAGTACCAATTTTTTATGTTCAAATGATTTTAATTTAATTAGAGTGTACATTTAAAATTGTACAAGTAAAAAGTTTTAAAACCTGGGGAAAAAACTAAAACAAAAGTCTTTGAAACATTTTTCAAAATTCTATTTATTTATTTCGATGTAAATAGTTATTTTGCCTGCACTTCTGCCTGTGCATCATGTGTATGCTTGGTCCTGATAGAGGCCAGAAGAGAAATGTCAGATTCCCTTGAAACTGGAGTTATAAATGGTTTGTGCTGCCATGTGGCTGCCAGGAATTGAACCCAGATTCATTGACAGATATGCCAGTTCTCGTAACCATTGAGTGATCTTTCCAGCCTAGACTCTGATTATTTCTTTAGAAATGAATTCTAGAAATAACTTTTTAAAAGTAGATTAGATTACTAGTGAGGACTAGAGGCTTGAGAGTTACCAGTAGTTACAGAGTTTCTATTTGAGATGGAAGAAACGTTTTAGAAATATACAGAAGACAGTTAAGAGCATTGCCTGCTCTTCCAAAGGTCCTGAGTTCAATTCCCAGCAACCATATGGTGGCTCACAACCATCTGTAATGGGGTTGGTGCCCTCTTCTGGCCTGCAGACATACACATAGACAGAATATTGTATACATAATAAATAAATAGTAGTGTTTTAAAAAAAGAATATATTGAAAACTATCTGAGGGCTGAAGAGATGGCTCAGTGGATAAAAGTGTATGTTTTAATGTGTTCACTCACACAAAATAAATATGATAATAATAAAAGAAAACAGTATGAACAAAATAGATACCAAAACTGAGACTGTGCTTTTGTTTCCTGGCCACCCAGACCCAAATAATCACACAAAGTACATTAATTGCAATACTGTTTGGCCAATGGCTTAGGTGTATTCCTAGCTAGCTCTTACATCTTAAATTAACCCATTTCTGTAACTTTCTATTTTACCATGAGACTTGTGGTTTGTTACCTTGCAGCTTGCTTCTTGGGCGGCTTCATGTTGTCTGCCTGATTCCATCATCTTTCTTCCTGCATTCAGTTTAGTTTTCCCCCCACCTATATTCTGCCTGCCATAGGCTAAAGCAGCTTCTTTATTAACCAATGGTAATAAAAACATATTCTTAGCATACAGAGAGGAATCCCACATTATCTCCCCTTTTCTGTCTAAATAAAAAGGAAGGTTTTAACTTTCACATAGTAAAATTACATAAAACAAAAGAGATACGAAGCAAGAATTACAGTTACAATATTCAATCTATTTATATCTGGTAAAATTAAAGGAAATATTCTGTCATCCATATTTTGTCTGTGAGTTTAGAGTTTCATATCTATTTTATCTTTTATCATAACTAAGAAAAACTATAACTATCTGTCTTTAACTCTGCCAAAGACTCCAGAAGGATATATTACCCAAGTTAACAGGAAGTACATTGTAAGCAACTTCCAAAACTCTTGAATTGATGGAGATATTTCGCTGCCTGGACAGTCAACTAAAGTTCTTTTGTAATGTTGGGACACCATTTTCAGCGAATAGGCCCATAGTATCTGGCAGATTTTTCCATGAAGCAGGAAACTTGAAAGATTGTTTTGCCTATATTGGCAGTTTGTCAGTCACTTTCTTCTGTGTCCTGCAGACTCATGAAGCAGAACCCTGAAGGACTGCCTCACCTTCTTTTGACAAGTTTAGCAGTCATTTTTCTGTGAGTCCTGCATGTCCAGTTTATACAGCGAACTGTCAAGCAGTCCAGACAAGGGCAGTTTCTTGCCCAAATGTCTAGCTTTGTCACATTGAATGCAATTTCCATAACAAATTTCTTCAGTGCCCATCAACCTCTCTGAAGTAATTTGTTTTGCCAGAAGCAGACATGTCACACTCCCAAGAAAAGTGTAAGTTTTTCAAACCTTTTAAGTGCCATATTCTGTAGGTCTTTGAAGTACTGAAGATTATCTAGCTGAAATATATTTCTGTATATCTAGAAAACCTAACTAACATGACTACAAATTTGACTAGTATAAATGACTGACTATTAATCTGTAATTTTTAATTATATATTACATTTTTAAAAGATTTATTTATTTATTATATATACAGTATTTTCAGTATTCTGTCTGAATGTATGCCTGCTGGCCAGAAGAGGGCACCAGATCTCATTACAGATGTGGTTGTGGGAAATGAACTCAGGACCTTTGGAAGAGCAGGCAGTGCTCTTAACCACTGAGCCATCTCTCCAGCCCCCTATATATTACATTTTTAAATGAGCTGTATAAACATAATACCTTAAACAGGGGTAGAAATATACATATAACAAAATGACCTTAAATTTGTATCAATAAACCAAAGTCCATGCCAATGTAAAGTATTCATTTTTATATCATATACCAAAAGTTGTTAGTGCTGAAGAAGTTACCTTTTGGGAAGAAAGTAGTGGTGTGTCAGGAATGTATTGGTAAGTTTATATATTTTATTGTATGAATGTCAATATTGTTTCTACCATTCTACAGTGCAGAGACAGACATATTGCATGTATTGCTGGTAAAAAATAAGGTTGCACTATTTGGTGACTTTTCTCTTGGAAGTTTGAAAGCTGCTCATTTATACCATCAGAATAGTCCGTGAAGCCGGGTGGTGGTGGCGCATACCTTCAAGTCCAGCATGTAGGAGGCAGAGGCAGGCAGATCTTTGTGAGTTTGAGGCCAGCCTGGCTACAAGCGCTGGTTCCAGGATAGGCTCCAAAGCTACAGAGAAACCCTGTCTCGGGGAGAAAGAAAGGAAGGAAGAAGGAAGGGGGAAGGAGGAAGGGAGGGAGGGAAGGAAGGAAGGAAGAAGGAAAGAAGGAAGAAGAGTATGTGAAGAGACCGAAAGTGAGACTTTTCTTCTATGTCTTTGTAGGTTACCCCACAGCCTACCCGGCAGCTGCCCCTGCTTACAATCCCAGCCTGTACCCGACCAATAGCCCCAGTTATGCTCCAGGTAAGCAATGGGTGGGAGCAGCAGTGATGAAGAGGTGGGAGTAGGCTTTCATTGGTAAAAGCAAATCCATCAGTTGGTCCTTCTCTTGAGACTGCCCTGGAGTCAGCCAGTTCTGGCTTGATTCTCTTTGGAATCCCCTCTGGAAACGGGCCGAACAACCTTGGGGTGGGAGTGGGAGTAGAACCTCCTTCGTTCTCCTGGGACTTAAGGGTGGTCCTTCTCTCCTATGCTGGACTATATGAGACATGCCACCACCCCTTGAAACTGCTTCATCTCTCTCAAGCAATGTCCAAATTAAATTTTTGTTCAGTCTTGCCTGAGGCTGCCATTGGGAATCATTCTCTTGTTCTCTCCCTCCCTTCCTCTCTCCTTCCTCTCCCTCCCTCCTTCCACTCATTCCCTTTCCTGCTCCTTCCTTCCCTTTCCTTCTGGGGTGTAAATTTGGAATAGAGTGAGAGACTTGCCACCAGAGTAAAGAGCCTTTTTACAGGCTAAGACAATTTACTTGTTTTCCAAAAATAGAAGACATATAACACTACTTGAACAGAGAGATTAAAATGGGTTTGAAATACTGAAGAAGGTGCTAGGTATGATGGCATATACCTGTAATCCCCGTACCTGGAGGCTGAGGCCAGCTTGAGTTCATAGTAAGAGAAACGAGCGAGTGAGAGAGAGAGAGACTAAAGAAAGAAAATATTGAAAAGATTTTTTTTTTCTTGTTTTGGGACCAGGAGTGTTACTGATGTTTTAACCACTAATGTTGCTCCTGAGCTCAGTCAGTGCTCAACACTCATGGTCAGGAAAAGGAATGGGTTCTATGGTTTGAAGTCCTAGGTTTGAATCTTGATTAGTCTTCTCCATAAGTGTACAGCCTTGGATAAGTCACCGTTCCGAAATTCACGTGTAACCATTTACCTGAGGGTTGCAGATGATTTTACATAAATTCTTTAGTCACTCACTAAGCATTTGTTGTATGTCCTCTATTCTGGGGTAGAAAAAGTAAAAGTTGGGGCTGGAGAGATGGCTTGGTGGTTAAGAGCACTGACTACTCTTCTAGTGGACCCAGGTTCAATTCCCAGTACCCACATGGCAGCTCACAACTGTCTGTAAATCCAGTTCCCGAGGATCTGAGACCTTCACACCAATGCACATAAATAAAGTTAAATAAATCATAAAAAATTCTTTAAAAAAAAAGAAAAAGTTATCATCTTTGCCTAAAGGAGCTAGTTAATTTTGGATCACGGCATATTAATAAATGAATTGTGCTACAATACAGAAAGTAATATAAAAAGAACACATATTAGAACAGAGGTAGAACCACAGTCTACCTTGGGGGACTTCACAAAGGAACTAACAGTAGAGACTTGAGACAGAAGTAGGAGGGGCCTTTGGAAGCACACAAGGGAGGAGGACACATTACTGGGAAGAGCATGCTTGTAAAGGCAAGGTGGAGGTATGGAACCTGACTGCTGAGCCTGGAACCAGTAGGACTGAGAAGGAATGGATGAGTCTGAACTACAGACTACAAGGAACAAATTTGGAAAGACATTAAATGTTACATACTTCTTCCTCCAATTTCTTATTCAGTGAATCTTATTCAGTGGAGTTGAAAAGCCCTTAAGAATTCTTTAATTCTGGGCTAGAGAGATGACTCAGTGGTTGGGAGAATTGACTGCTCTTCTAGAGGACCCGAATTCAATTCCCAGTACCCACATGACAGCTCACAACTGTCTGTAACTGACACCCTCACACAGACATTCATTCACACCAATGCACATAAATTAAAAATAAATAAATATTTTTTTTTTAAAAAAAAGGATTCTTTAATTCAGTCTCTTGTGATTGTAGTCAGGGAGGTGGTGAGACTGGAAAGTAGAGTGCAGTGAAGCAAGAAAGGAGAAGTGATCTATAGCATGAGAGTATGCTTTCCAGAAACTCAGCAACCAAGAAAAGAGAAACAAAGGCACAGTGTAGAAGGGGATGTGCAGGTGAACGGGGCATTTGAGGTGTCAGTGTGAGTAAGTGCACACTCGTGGGAAGGAGCAAGTACTAAACAAGTCACAGATGCAGAATAGCATAGAACTAGTTCTCCTAGCAGCTGGCAAACAGTGTTCAGGTCCCTTCCTTGTTTGGGAAGTTGAGTGACAGGAGGAGGTAGAGTGCCTCAGTGGGGGGAGGGGGGAGCTCAGAGCTAGCACCCATTTGGTTCAGGCTGCAAGCCCTAACAGTGAGCTAATTTCTCACAATATTCTGGTGAGAGATTTTAGAATTATTTAAGGGTCAATTATGCATGTAATTGGCAGGAATAAAATACTGCTGTTAAAGGTGTAGTAGTGCATGCCTTTATCCCAGCATTTGGGAAACAGAAGCAAGTGGATCTCTATGAGTGAGTTCCAGGCCAGCCTAGTCTATATAGTAAGTTCTGGACCCACTAGGGTGATATAATGAGACCCTTAAAAAAAAGGTAAAGAAAGGAGAAGGAGGGAGGGAGGGAGGGAGGGAGGGAGAGAGAGAGAGAGAGAGAGAACTAAAACAACAAAACTCTATGATTAATTCAATGTTTCCTTTGTGTTAGCAATAATTTGAAGCTCTTTATGGATATTAGCTTATTTTATAATACAACATACTGAGTATTTTTTTTCTCACAATTTCCAATTGGGAAAACAAGCTTAAAGAAGTTCTGCAACTAGAATTGCAACCACATTCTGGCATCCTGCCATGGTACCAGAACTCTTAACTACCTGTCGCTGCTGAGGCAGTGGCAGCACTGAGGTATTAGATAGGAACTATCAGCCTGGAGAAGGCAGCAGTGCAGAGAGGAGTTTGAAATTATTTCTGCTTTTTTTTTTTTGTGGTGGTGGTGGTTTGTTTGTTTGTTTATTTGTTTGTTTGTTTTTCATGACAGGGTTTCTCTGTAGCTTTGGAGCCTGTCCTGGAACTCGCTCTTGTAGACCAGGCTGGCCTCGAACTCACAGAGATCCTCCTGCCTCTGCCTTCCTAGTGCTGGGATTAAAGGTGTGCACCATCACTGCTGGGCTCTGAGATTGTTAAAAACATGAAGAGCCTAGAAAGCTGCTGGCGTAGGTAGAGTATTACGTTTCAGATAGACAAGTTTAAAAAACAAAACCAAAAAGCCGTTTTTCAACCTGATTAATGCTTTAAATGGATTAAGCCAGACCATTTGCTCAGAAACCAAAATACACAATAAAGGATGGCACTGGTGCATTGTGTTAGCGAGCCCCACACCGGCCAGGCAAGAGTGAAAGGCCATCCTTATTGCAAAATCAGGATGGAAGGGAAGGAAAGAAGAGGTATCAGACTGAATTAACTGTTTCAGATGTTTGTGTGACTCTGGGGGGAGACCTGTCCCTTTGAGAGACACACACACTCATGCTCACACACTCATCGCTGGGTCTATTTCATATTTTGTGATGCTGACCTCTACCTTCACAGGTCTGACTATTAGGGGTGAAGCTCTTGCCATAAAGGCTCAAGGTCTGAGGGAAATTTATAGGTGACTCTCAGCTTCTTGCCAGAGCTGGCCATTTGTGATGCAGGGAAGTGCCTCTAAGGAGCAGCCATGAAAGTTTAAATTGCCTTCAGTTACTTCAAGGAGACTAAGAAATTGCTCACAGAGAGCTATTTCTAGCAGCTCTATGCTCCCTTAAGTTCGGGATACAGGGGAAAGCTCATTCTTCCATTGATTCTGAAAGCCCTGTGGGTACCTGGGCTTCTTTCCAAGTGCTTACCAACTTCAGGGACTGTATTTAGATACCTAACTTTGCAGGAGGCAAAAGCTGGCCATGATTTTTTTTAGAATTCAGGGAGCAGAAGGCTTATCATAAAAATGATAATGTGATTTGAAAGTAAAACTAAATAGAAAACTAATGTCAAACTCGTTCATAAGAAGCGTGTTCTCAGCCGGGCGGTGCTGGCCCACGGTTTTTAATCCCAGCACTCGGGGTCAGAGACAGGCGGGTCTCTGTGAGTTTTAGGCCAGCCTGGTCTACAAGAGCGAGTTCCAGGACAGCCAGGACTGTTACACATAGAAACCCTGTCTCAGTAAACAAAAAACAAGCCGGGCGGTAGTGGCGCAAACCTTTAATCCCAGCACTCAGGAGGCAGAGGCAGGTGAATCTCTGTGAGTTCGAGGCCAACCTGGTCTATAGAGTTCCAGGACAGCTAAGACTGTTACACAGAGAAACTCTGTCTTAAAAGCCAAAATAAAAAAGAAAAGAAAAGAAGGAAGGAAGGAAAGAAAGAAAGAAAGAAAGAAAGAAAGAAAGAAAGAAAGAAAGAAAGAAAGGAAGAAAAGAAAAACATGTTCTGTCTGCTGATCGCCGCCATCATGGACACGAGTCGCGTTCAGCCCATCAAGCTCTCTAGGGGAACCAAAGTGCTGGGCAGGACCGGTTCGCAGGGACAGTGCACACAGGTATGTGTAGAATTTATGGATGACACCAGCATCAGAGGTCCTGTTGGAGAGGGAGATGTGCTCACCCTATTGGAGTCAGAAAGGGAGTCTCGGAGGTTGCGCTGACCTTCCTGCTGGGTCCTGAGTATCCACCACTTGGCCCATAATGACCTGCGACTATTAAATAAAACATTTGTATTGTTTTAAAAAAAGAAAAACATGTTCTCATCTCTTGTCTCCCACTGAAGTATGCATATAGTTTTCCCATTCCCATTTTAGATATTACAAACTTGGGGGAAAGTAGAGGAAAATAATCTGTTTCTAAACACCTGTACAAGTTACAAGTGTGCCCTTTTACCTTTGTCTTGTAAGCTAGAGTTTCTTGCCTCCAGTTTAACTCAAAGAATATTAAGTAACTTTCAGAATTAGATTGAAAATGCCATGGATTTGGGGCTAAGATAGCTTAGCAGTTAAGAGTTCTGGCTGCCCTTCCAGAGGTCCTAAGTTCATTTCCCAGCAACCACTTAGTGATGCACACCCTTGTACAATGGGATCTGATGCCCTCCTCTGGCATGCAAGCAAACATGCAGACAGAGCACTTATACCACCCCCCCAAAAATGCCATGGATCTGAGATTCAAATCCATTTGTCTGACCCTATAGCCATATTCCTTCTACAACATAACACTGTCCTAGATGGAATATCTCTGTACTGAACCTAATTCTCTGAGAGGCCTGTGATGGCCATGATTTTTGAAGTGGTCTTAAGATGGACACACAAAGAATAGGAACTTTTCGGTTACTTCTCTGAAAGATCCTGTGGCATCCAGGGAGGTGCTTCTCTGCAACTAATGAACTTTCCTGGATGGCAAGTCTGTCACCCTTTCCAGGGGGAGGTAATTCCCATTTTCTCCATTCATTGCTTCTTATGCAGCCTGGGGGAAACTGCTGTCTTGAAACAAGTCTGTTATATAACTGCAATATGTACAACTTTGCAAAAATTCTTAGTGGTAATTTCAACTAACATTTCTATCCAACAGAGTTTCAGTTCCTGCATTCAGCTTATGGTAGGAGAGCTATTTTTCCTCATCTGTATTATGGCCTATGAATGTGTTATCTTGTAACAATGGTAGATTCCCTTTCCTTTCCTCCCCAAATCCCACCTCCTAGGCTTGGGCTTCCCCAGGGGGCTCAGCAGCAGTTCCTATAGCATGCAGGAACGTGTCTGATGGTGCAAAATCATGGGTTGGAGACACACATGAACCATTCCCATATGGCTGTAATGAAGGATCATGGCACTAAAAGGCATCTTAACCTGACTGCCTGATTCAAACAAATGAATGAAAATTCTAGGGTCTATGTGTGGCTCCTCATTTGGCTTTATGATAGACTCTGAGGAGCCCCTTGATTATGACTATTATAAATAATACAAAATACGGTCAGATGGCCCCAGGATCAGATTTTCCATTTCTGTTAGCAGTCTGACATGTTTGAAGACCTGGTTGACCTTAGATACACTCTGTTGCCTTCATCCTCATTTTCGGAGCATTTTTCTGGTTGATGAAAGGTATGGGCCAAGTGTGAGTTCTCTGGGCAGTGTGGACTCCAGGACCAAGGCACCACGGGAACTTCTGGGCACCTGTGAGGGTCCCAACAGTGTAACTTGACTAGGTCCTTCTTGTAGACAGTAAGGGACCATGGGAGAAACTTGCCACTTTTACCACACTCATGATGTTTTTGTGAAATCTTTGAATGTTTTCCCAACTTTTAATCTTGCTGTAGAAAAGTGAAATTTTTACACATAGTACATCTTTCAGAAGATGAGCTATGACATTTCTTTTCACTACTGCTGTGGGCTGTGTGATCTTGGGCAACTTACTAATGTCCCCAGGCCATAAAGTTTTTCATATCACATGATCTCATGGTTCTTTTAAATTCTAACATACCATCCTCTTGTAATTTTTATTATTTCAATAGTGCTAGGTACAGAACTGTTTCACTTACCACTTATAAGAGGCTGGGGATTTAGGGGGGGGGGTTTGTTTGTTTGTTTGCTGCCGAATATATGAATTTAAACAACTCTAAAATGCTAGAGAAGACTGCATGCTTACTCCTCTTTCCAATTAAAGCAGTGATTCTCAACCTGTGGGTCATGAACCTTTTGGGGCTTAAAGACCCTTTCACAGGGGTCACATAACACCAAAGGAAAACACAGATTTATATTTTGATTCCTAACAGTAGCAAAATTACAGTTATGAAGTAGCAACAAGAGTAATTTTATGGTTGGGGGTCACCACAACATAAGGTATTGGAGGATTGTAGCAGTAAGAAGGTTAAGAACCACTGACCTTTACATCGAGTGTGAATGGAGAACTTTACAGAGTATTCTACGCCAGGCCTTACATTATCCCTGTGAAGATAGACAGACCAGTAAAACAAGGCCCCCTATCTAGAAACTCACAGTTTATTGGGAAGACCAAGGCAACCAGGTATAGAGGACCTCTAAGACTCATGGGAACTGAGATAGTCAGTTATGTGGGATGATGTGGTCAGAGAGTGGACAGAGGCAAAGACTTCATAGTAGAATCAAGTCTTTGACTCATGACTGATTACTTAATACCTGTGTGCCAGAAGAACTAGTAGAGTGGACAAACCATAGAGAAACAAAGCTCCTCGGTGGACTCTGGGAATGAGAAGAGTTTGTGCACTGTAGTTTGAATTGGAGAGTGAGATAAAGATTAGAGAGCCAAGAGAGATGTGTCAGTCAGGGAGAAGACAGTGGTCAAGAAGTAGGACCAGCCTATAAAACCTCAAAGCCCACCCCCAGTGACCTACTTCTCCCAAGACTCTGCCACCTAAAGGTTCCACAACCTTCCAAAATAGCACCTCCAACCAGAGACCAAGTGCTTAAACTTATGATCCAGTGTAGAATATTTTAGTTCAAACCACAAGAGAGCATCAGTATTAGATCAGGGGAGTAGTAAATGCAGAGTCGAGTCTGTAGCCTGTAGGCAACAGAGAACCATGAAATGTTTCTAAAACTTTATTAGAGTTTTAGACCAGTATGGCTATTGCTTGGAGATTAGAAGGGACAAGTTAAAACAAACAGAACCAAAGCATTAAGAAGCAGTGGAAGTGACTGAGGTCAGAGATAATCAGAGTTTGAACTAGAGTTGGCCACAACTGTAGGGATGGAAGCATACAGCTACCATAACTGGAAACCATTAAGACTGATGATCTGTCTGTCAGTCCTGTGAAGCAGCCAGGGAGTGATTAGTACGCCATTTTACAGTACAACAAAACTGGCAATCAAGTGACTTGCCCAAGGTCCCACAGCTAATAAGTGGCAGAGCCCAGACTAGATCTCAGATTTCCTGACTCAGCACATGGTTCAGGATGATGGTCCCTTGCTGCCTCTCTTTGTAAATGTGCTTAACAGATTGTTCTAGTGTCAAAGGGTGTGAGGGTCCCATATCCAAGAAGTAAACAACTCAGCAGCTAGATGTGGGCAGCCTGCTGTGACAGGGGTCATAGCCCTCCACATGGTTTTGGTTTTCCCCTCTCTGTTTCTTTTTACACATTTATAGTAAGTACATAAAGTCTTAAGTGAACAGCTTAATAATGTTTTCATATGTGATACATCTGTACTTAACTATTGCTTAATTCAAAGAATAAAACATTTTTAAGAAGTAGTTCCTTTTCGGCATCCCAAAACAGGTCTGCCTGATGGAGAGCTCTGTCTAGCCATGCTGCTAAAAGCTTCCTACGATTGAGACTGGTTTCATGGAGCAGCTGAGCTCTGCATTGCTGCCACCATCAAAAGGATTACTGTAGAGCTGAACAGAGAAACCGAATCATTCAGTTAATGAAGAGGATTAATTGACTGCTAAAAAATCCTTTTCATTCTGTCTTCACATGTATCTGATTATTTAAATTATTGACTATTCTAGCATAAAGAAAAGACACAACTGAGTGTGGTGGAACAGCCTTAACCCCAGACCCAAGGAGGCAGAGGCAGGTGGATCTCTCAGTTCCTGAACAGCCAGGACTAATACACAAAGAAACCCTGTCTCAAAAAAACAAACGAACAAATAAAAAGGAAAGACACAGAAAATTCTGTTTGCTTCCAGTATCTAATAAAACTAGAAGAAACTTCCCCTTTATTTGAAAAATGTAGTTTAGCCTAAGTGATCACTTAGGAAAGGCAATGACACAGTGGCACTTGCTTCTTTCTCAGTTAATCTACAACATTATTTTACTGTGACATGCTGTCTTGTTCACTCCCTGGTTGATGTGTGGCTGAGTTGTATCCCCAGTAAACAGTAAGTACCTTGTGTGCAGTGACGTAACCCAGGCATGTTCCTGTCCACCGTGGCACTCCCCTCAGTGCTGAGTACAGTTAGGCCTCAGTACTCTGTGGCTAATTTTGATGTAACTTCAGTTGTCACACAGTCCTTCAGGCAATTGTCAGACTTCTGACTTATAATGAAAATTATAAGTATGCCCTCACTCAGAAGAAGGAAAAAAAAAGCCAAAAATAGAATAAATCAGGACTTCTAAATTTTCCAAATTCTTATGACCAAATTTAGACCTCTTGGTCCTTGGTAGAGCCTCACTGAGATCTCAGGGCAGGGAACTGCTCTATTTGACTTCTCAGAGCTACATATTTGGCACAGCAGGAAGTTGTTTGAGGATAGTTGTGGCCTTCCAGCCACATGGAATATCAGTCCCTGAATTTGGAGACATTGTGATAAGATTTTGACACTAATTGGGTCCTTCCACCTTCTGGAGAAAAACACTGAAGATGTTTATTTAAAGCAGATTCCCTCCTCCTGCAGGGGCTACACAACTGTGTCTGGCTGTCTAGTAAGGACTCTGGGCTCTACATGGAATTGTGTTGTCTCCATTTTTTCTCTTGCCAGATTCTCCTTTTAGTGTCACTCTCCTGCCCATGATTTCCTTCTCATTCCTCAGCATTTGCTATATATATTGTGGGCCATTAATGCAAGCAGAGTCAGCCTATGCAGCTACGTTCTGATTCTAGTTCAGAAAAAAAAAAAACAAAACACAGCAGAATCCACAACCTTCTCTAGCCATTATAATTCTGTGATAGAAAGAATAGAGATGTTAGTTGGAAACCAGGCTGCAAAGGCATTGCAGAATCTCTCCAGAGGTAGCAGATCCTGTAGGAATCAGTGTGACCAGCAGACTTTCTTATCATGGTTCCCTGTCTTTCCTTAACCCTTTATTAAAATATTTCAAGTTTATCTGATTGTTGCCAGTCCAGCCCTGCTTTTAAGATAGAAATTTAGATAAAAAAGTGTCTCCTCTGGTATTTAAAAGAATAGTTTTCTTTTTTTCCTTTCCTTTTCTTTTTCTTTCCTTCCTTCCTTCCTTCCTTCCTTCCTTCCTTCCTTCCTTCCTTTTTTAAGGCATTTATCTCCTATTTCCTCTCTTTCCTTTCCCTCAGGATACCATGACGGTAAGTTTTTTAAGACATTCCCCACATCTAGAACACTTAATGAAATTTCTTAAGTTGAGCTTTGAGCTTTTCTGGGAAGTCTCTACAGATTTCAAACTAATTTCTATAATATACCTACCCCAATTTTGACACTTTCATAATGGCCAAAGGTTCATCTCTAACTCAGTTGGAGCATCCAGTAGCACCGATTAGGAGATTTTCAGACATGCACAAGGTGTATCTATCTGGCCCTGGCTAATATCCAGCAGGAGTTGGCAAGGAGTGCCCCTTTGTATAGCTAATAGTGCAGCCAGAGCCCAGGCCTTTTAGGCTGCCATGGTCACAGCTCATAACAGGTCTTTTAGAGGAGATGCTATTCCTGCAAGGCTCATGTAAAATGGTAGTTACTGGTTAGTTTCTCTTTGGAAGCAACTCACTTTTTGTTGTTGTTGTTTGGTCTTGGTTTTTTTTAAGACAGTTTCACTACGTAGCACAGGCTGACCTCGAACTCACAGAGATCCGTCTGCCTCTGCCTCCCAAGTACTGGAATTAAAGGAATGTGCCACCATACCTGGTGCAACTCACAACTTATTAACCATACCTCCAGATGAGATTTCAGACCAGAGGGAACTTTTTCAAGACTCAGTTAATTTGGCCCAGTACACTGTTAAAGAATTCCAAGTGTCTTCATGTTAATGAGGAAGTAGTAGAGGAATATACCACAGTTTAGATCAGGTGAGGTGGAAGATTCATGGGCATCTTCGTGGTTTTTGTTATAGATAGAAAAGTCCTGATTCTCATTTTTTAAATGTAGGCTTCCTTGGAAGTCATTTGGAAGCTCACTTCAGCACTTCTTCCAACCCACTATCTCATCTCAAAAAGGCTGAATCATTCTGTGTGTCTGAGCAGGCTCCTTGAGTTATGTTTCTGTCTAGCACAAGACCCTTGCTTTTGTGTCTGTAATTGGTGGTGCCCACTTCATACTTCTGCCTAATGCCATTCTTGTGTCTCCCTTAAGCTACTCTGCTGATGAAACAGGCCTGGCCACAGAACTCATCTTCCTGTGGCACTGAAGGCACCTTCCACCTCCCAGTGGACACCGGGACCGAGAACCGAACTTACCAAGCATCCTCTGCTGCTTTCAGTAAATACAGTCTGTCTCTTCCTCTTCCTGTTCCCCTTGGTCGGGACTGATTTGTTCATTAGGAAGAAAGGAAAGGATTTGGGGGAGGGGGGGTTGAGACAGGGTTTCTCTGTAACTTTGGAACCTGTCCTGGAACTTGCTCTTGTAGACCAGGCTGGCCTTGAACTCACAGAGATCTGCCTGCCTCTGCTTCCCAAGTGCTGGGATTAAAGGCATGTGCCACCACCACTCGGCCAGGAAAGGGAATTTTTAAAGTGACATTTTTAGTATAAACACTGTTTTAAGAGGTTCTTCTAGTCATGCAAAAAAAAAATCGGCCTTTGTCATTCAAGAATGATGATCATCTGTGATCATGCCTTTGGGATATCCACAGCAGTGAGGGAGGGGCGTGCCTGGGCCAAGAAGTTGGATTTGTGAAAGACAATGACTTCATTTTAGGGGGAAGGATCAAGGAACAAATGAAGGCTTTGTGTGTCTCTTCCTACCCTCAGGATTTCTGACCTTAGCACTATTGGCATCTGGGACAGATGAGTTTTTTTCCTATGCATGGTAGGATGTTTAGCAGTGACTGTAACTTCTCTCTGTTAGATACCAGTAGCAAAGTATCATTGTCACTACCAAAAATGTCTTCAGATAGGGCTCAGTGATCCTCTGGAGAAGAAAACTGTCCTCTGTATAAGAAACACTGCCCTAGTTCATGCACACTTTGGGAACATGGTATGACATGGACAGACACCTGTAGCCAGATTGGTCATGTTCAGCCTGAGGCTCACTCAGTGATGTTGTCACCTTTACAGCTGATTGGTAACACAAATGACTCCAGTAAGGACCATCATTTAAAAATTGCTGAGTGGAAGAACTTGTGCCTGTGGCAACTGTTGGGCATTGGAATGACTGACTTTGAATGTAATGAGCGCTGGTTTCTGAATTTATGCCAGCAGGAACTGGACAAACCCTTAGCAAAATGTTATAAAAAAGTAACTTACTAGATAGGCTATGAAAATTCATTGAATTTGTTTTCTTTTCTTTTAACTATCCAATGTCATTGCTTCTCAGCCTTTTTGCTGAGATCAAGTGTAAAATATCCAGTGTTGGAGCTGGAGACATAGCTCAGCAGTTAAGAGCACTGACTGCTCTTCCAGAGGACCCAAGTTCAATTCCCAACACCCACATGGCAGCTTACCAGCATCTGCAACTCCAGTTCAGGTAACACAGTGCCCTCTTCTGACCTCTTTGTGTTTTAGGCACAAATATGAGGCCCATACATGCACATAGTTAAATTCATATGCATAAAATAAGAACAAATCTTTTAAAATAAATTAAATATCCAATATCAAGCCTGACATGGTAATACATGCCTATAATCCTACCACTCAGGAGGCAGAGGCAGATAGATCTCTCTGTAAGATAAAAGCTAGCCTGGTCTACATAGTGATTTTTTAGGCTAGCCAAGGTTACATGGTGAGCCCTTTTCTTTAAAAACCACCAACAATAAAACCAATGTTATTTTCTCCTCATTGTCACTGTCCTTACATGTCAGCATCTACTAACCCAGCATGGTGTGCCTTTTGTAGATTCTGCTTTCAAAATCAGCCCCTTGTTCAATCAAGATTATAGTCTATAAAGTTTGGGTGGACTTTTATCCCGCTTTGAAATTTCCAAAGGTTCAAGAAGGCAGTATAACCAATGCTGTATAATTAATATGCCAGCACAGCTGGAAAAAGATAGCTTTCAAACTAGAATTCTATTCCTGACTCTTTGTGAGGCTGGCTTTACTCTTTCAAAAGACAAATGAGGTATCATGGTAGCCTAGCACTCAGGAGGCTGAAGCAAGAGGATCACAAGTTCAAGACCATTCTAGGCCACATAGCAACCTTTAGGTCAATATGAGGTCCATAGTGAGAGTTGGTCTCAAAAGAATAATGAGAGGAATGGCAGCTATAGGGAGTTTTTCCAGGTTCCTTAAGTAGAATTGAATGAACATATTTAAAGTTATATAATGTAAGTTGATATGTGTGTAGTCCATAAATGTGGATGTAGGTGAATAAAGGCACAGTTACTACAGTGCAGCAGAAAGAGGCCTGGTGTGGAAGATAGAGGACTGTAGTCTTGATTCTATGTAACTGGATAATTCATGGCTCTGCTTTGGTCATTAGTCTCTAAAACTGAAAACCTTGGACTAGGTTACCTTTAAAGTCCTTGCTAGCTATTGGACTCCTGATTCCCTCGCTTTAGAGCTATGTACCTATTGTCTTCTCACAAAGTCCTCTCTCTCTAGCTGCCCTCATCAGTAAGCTAGCTTTCAAGGCTTTGCTCATATCTCTAGGAATAAGGTCCTCATTCCTTCCAGAGGTAGCCTTTCCTACAGTGAGGAAGTGTCAGAATGCCTTACCTTCAGTGCTAAAATCTAAAAGTCCCACAGAAATATACAGTAGTTACATCCTGCTCTCCCCTCTTGGACAGGCTGTCAAGTTTCTAGGTAGGACCAAGATGTATCACTCTTTTTCAAGCAAGTATTATATAAATGGATAAAACGTTTTAGATGGATTTGGGATTGTCTGACTCACTCATGCAGGCTCACAAAAGTTCCTCCAAGCATTCAGATTTTGTTGTTTTTTAGTACCACAGTACACTCAGGACACTTTGACAAATTCACACCAATTTAACCAGTAGTTGATAACACGTGTTCATAATTAGGTATCCCTCCTACTTACTCGGTGCTTTAGGGTTTAACCACCAACAAGAAAACTTAGAGGTTAAGACAAGATTCAGACATACTGTGTTATTCTATCCAGATTCTGTCCTGATATATAAAACTGATGATCAATAAAGCAATAGTGTAAAAGGTATCCTTGATGTGAACATCAATGTCTTCATTGTAGTGGGGCTCTACAACTGAAAAGGATTTTTGACAGTGAAGCAGGGTTGAAGAGAGGGCTACAGAGGCTTCATCTTGCTAATGCACACAGTCTCTTTATGTGCTCCCATTTGATATAGCCTACAACTATAGCTAGGAACCTGAAACAAACAGCAGGCAGGCATCATAAACAAAACCTCTTTATAAGGCAGAGTTGGCACTTCTAGTGATAGAATGCCTTTGTCTCATGACACAGCCTTTAGTGAAATGGGGATACAAAGCCAGTACAGCAGATGTCCAATATTGTACTGTAGAGACATTTAACTCATAAACAGCTTTGCCCAAGGCAACATTAACTCTGACCTCTGCTCTATGACTGTAGATATGATGTGCAATTTTGAAAAAAATTACTTTCTAAGTTACAGGTTCTTCCTCAAAATAGGTCTCAAATGCCTTTAAGGTATAGCATCCCAAAGTTCCCATTCTGTGACCTTCAGATTTAGCATTCATTTCAAACTAGCCCTTCAGTTGGGTCTAAATTTATTTGAGTAAAAATCCATGAGATATTTTTGCAACAAATCCAACAGCTTCTTTTACTTAGTAGATGCACAAAGTAGTAAACCCTAACTTTTATGATATCTAAGCCCAGGATATTAGCCCTAGATTTTCAGTGTTCCCCAGGAGTATGGACAGGGTGAAGATGATGTCCTCATAGACATCCTACTGAAATAATACAAATACTAACATTTGATGAATGTTAACATCAAAATGCCCTCTGAAATGATCTAGTCCAACTGAAGATATTCCCAATATAGGAAGCTGACTTGAAAGGATTTCAGGAAAAAAGGCCTGAGCTTGGGTGGTTTCTGCAACCTTAGGAAGCTCCTCCTGCCCCTGATGATGCCCTTGAGTCGCATCATGGTTACAGCTTCTGTGTGCAGTCTCTGTTAGCATCTCTCATCTCTGATCATGTTAGAGATCTCTAAGATCTACTCCAGCAGTTCCAGAGTTCTGCCTCCATCCCAAACATCTAGAGATGCAAAGCAGGCTATAACCAGCCTTTCTTTGGCTGCCATGGCTATTTAGATACTGATTTGTATTTTGAGTGTGTATGTCTTGTTTCATAACATGAAGAGGGAGGGGGGAAACATTGTTCATAAGGTTATTCTCAGATATGGAAACTAGATTCTTTTTTAAACAAATCATTTTTATTATTTTATTGTATCTATTTTTTAAGATGTATTTATTTATTACGAATACAGTGTTCTGTCTGCATGTATGCATACAGGCTGGAAGAGGGCACCAGACCTCATTACAGATGATTGTGAGCTACCATGTGGTTGCTGGGAATTGAACTCAGGACCTCTGGAAGAACAGCCAGTGCTCTTAACCGCTGAACCATCTCTCCAGCCCTCAGGAACCAAATTCTACTGCATTCTCCTAGAACTTTTTGATTCTCTGCAGAGGGACATCCCACTTTGTAATGTGGTTGCTTTTGTGGCTTAGATGACGTGGTACACCTTCCTGGAGAAAGCTAGAAAGTCCAGAGCATATTCTCCAGGCACATTTAAAAACAAAAACAAAACAAAAGTTGCCTGTATTTTTGGCCTGTTAAAGAATCATAAAATTTTAGAATCTTGGAGCCCTGGAGTTTGTGTTCCAATTTGGAACATACCACAGCCTATCTCTTACCTCTTGTAGTTTTTAAGAGCAGTCCATGATCATATGTCCCATGAGAGGAAGCTTACTACTGCCTCTATGTAGTGAGAGAGAAAGTAATAGCCTATTTACATGGGCTCAGTCAGTCATTCAGTTAATCAGTTCCCATGCTGCTTGTAATCACTGCTCTGTAGGATTTGGAGACAGATGGCTTCAGATTCATAGTATCCTATACAGAAAAGACACTAAATTCTCACAAGATTCTCCACATCTTTATTTTGGCTTTTGTTTTTTGCTGTCTTTTTGTTTTTTTATTTTCTATACTGGAAATCAAACACATAGCTTTGCCAAGGTTTTGCCACTGATGCTATATCCCTAGATCCTTCACATCTTGTTGTTTAACTTTAAATTAAGGGTTAGTAAAATTTCCTATGAAGAACCAAATAATAGATACTTTAGGTTTAAGGATCATATGGTCTGTAACTACTACCACTGTGGCAGGAACAGGTTATCCAGCCTGGTGGTTGGTACAAGCTCATATATGATCCTACCTACTGAGAAGGTTGAAGTAGAAAGACTGAAAGTTTGAGGCAAGACTGAGTTACAAAGTGAGTTTAAGGCCAGCCTAAGCAATCTAATAAAATCCTATCTCAAAATAAGATTTAAAAAGAAGGCTGAGGATATAGCCCCAGTGGTAGAGTATATACCTTTTCCCCACATAGTATGTGGGAAACCCCAGGTAAATACACACACGCTCTGTGGTAAAACAAATTTGAAAAGTCTTATACATATCCTATCTTAGAAATTCACCATTTACACTATTATTAAAGACTTCTTTTGCCCTCCTAAAACTAAGGTCTAGAGATTTGGCATTATATATGCAAGTTTGGAGGAAAGTCAGACCTAAGACCACAACACTTTTATTTCAACAAAAGCCTGCTCCACCCTGCACCACTGCACCATGACTGTCTGTTTTTTGGGATTTTTGTTGTTGTTGTTGTTGTTGTTTTAAGATTTATTTGTTATGTATACAACATTCCTTCCATGTATGTTTGCATGCCAGAAGAGGGCAGCAGATCTCATTATAGATGGCTGTGAGTCACCATGCAGTTGCTGGGAATTGAACTCAGGACCTCTGGAAAAGCAGTCAGTGCTCCTAACCTCTGAGCCATCTCTCTAGCCCCTTCCAGATTTTCTATATAAAGGAGAAATGTGGTCCCTTGATGTTCATCAGGTTCCACAGGGTGAGTCCATGTGGTGATTTTTAGGGACACAGTCTTGCTGACCTCTGAGGAATCTTGAAGAGTAAGATTCCTCAGAGGAAGCAGTGTGACAGCCACTGCCCTGCTTCTGTCCATCTTTGTGAGATACAGACATAGCCTAGATTATGGGTCAATGTATGTCTTCCTGATTCCTAACTTTTGGGGTAGAGGTGACCCTCTCCAAGCCACAGGAAAAAAAAGAAAAGGGCAGTGCTATAAAGCAAAGTTTTAACACCCTAGAAGATGAGGGTCTTTGAGTGGTGGGGTTTTTTGTTTGTTTTGCATTTTGCGTTTGTTTGTTTGTTTGTTTGTTTGTTTTTTCAAGACAGGGTTTCTCTGTAGCTTTGGAGCCTGTCCTGGAACTAGCTCTTCAGGCTGGCCTCAAACTCAGAGATCTGCCTGCCTCTGCCTTCTGGTTGCTGGGATTAAAGGTGTGCGCCACCACCACTTGGCTGTTTTTTTTTTTTTAATGGGGTTTTTAACCTTCAGACTTGTGAAGAGGGACTGTGATTGATGAAATCCATTCATGGGAGAGAAGAGAAGGAGAGAATGAAGCATTCAAGATACACATGTAAGATCAGCTTGGGCTTCATGAGACCCTGACTCAAAAACAAATTATCTAGACAGAGAAAAACAGAACTGACAACAGAAGATCTCCTGAGATGCTAAGTAAGGAACCAGAATGAGAAAATAGTGAAAAGAAATGAGTGAGTTGAGGGTATCTGTCAGGGTACCACCTGACTTTCCACACAGGCAGCTCAGAACCCCAGATTGTCTGTCAGCTGAAAGGGCCCCATAGAGACTATTTGGTTCTGAGAGCCCTGAAACCCAGAGAAATAAAATGCCCAAATCATGCTTGCAGCCGTGTTCAGCAGAACTGAGGGAGCTGCCTGGAACCACAGCTCTGTGGTAAAGCCCTGGTTCTCTTGTCAGTCCTCATCTGTGTTTCTAGCTGGATTCAACCCATTTTTGTTTGAGAGATTCTTACTGGGGACCTGCTGCCTTCAAGCAATGCTGTTCTGCCAACTAACTAGAGGTCTCTTTTATTGCCTTGGTACAGGATATACTGCAGGGACGCCATACAAGGTCCCACCGACCCAGAGTAATACTGCTCCACCCCCCTACTCCCCATCACCCAATCCCTATCAGACGGCCATGTATCCAATCAGAAGTGCCTACCCCCAGCAGAATCTGTATGCCCAGGTAGGTACACATGGAGGACCTCTTCTGCAGCTGCTTCCAGCAAGGATGGGGTGGCATGGGATGAGGAAAAGAAAAGAGACTCCATGGATTTAGCTAGCTGTCATCACTGTAGTGTCACTAAAGAATATTCCTGCAAGACTGCCTTCTTTGCCTCACTCTCAAAGGGTGAAGCACGAAGTCAGGTTAACAGAGCCTCAAACGTCAGAGGACCATTAGAAATCATCAAGCTCAACTCCTTTGTTGAACAAGTAGAGAAACTGAGACTGCAGAGGAGAAAGGCTGGTCTAAGGTCACACTGAGCTATTGGCTGTGTCAGGCTATGCTATTACTTGTGTTGATCTCCCTCTTTTAATCTCACACCTCCCTTTCTTTGATAAAATTGATGAGCCAAGTAGGAGAGAGAAAGAAAAGGGAAAAAAAAACAAAAACAGTGTCTGCTACCAGTGCCCTCTGTGACCCTAGGCAAGTGATTCTTTAGTGTTTTATTGGCCCTTTTGGATTTCTTCTGCTGGAGAATGTATGCAACTGATCGGAGGCAAGAGGGAACTGTTTGAGACTCCAGCATGACCATGGTACATCTTCTGAAGTGACAATTCTACATGAGGTGTAAGTGGTAAGGAGTTTTTAAACTTTGGAGTTTAAAAACCAGCTTTGTTGCTGGGCGGTGGTGGCACATACCTTTAATCCCAGCACTCAAGAGACAAAGGCAGTTGGACCAGCCTGATCTACAGAGCGAGTTCCAGGACAGCCAGGACTACATAGAGAAACCCTGTTTTGGGAAAAAAGCAAAAAGAAAACTAGCAATGTTGCTTGAGAGATGGTTTGGTGATTAAGAGCACTTGCTGTTCTTGCAGAGGACCTGGATTTGATTCCCAACACCTTCATGGCAGCTCATACTCATCTGTAACTCTAGTTGCAAGGTATACAATGCCCTCTTCTGGCCTCCATGCAAGTGGTACACAGACATACATGAAGGCAAAACACACATACTCACACACATTTGAAAATATATATACATATATATGTATATATATATATATATAAAACAACTAATAGAAAACATTTTTTTTAACTAGCTATGTTGCAGAGTATACTACAAAACTTGGACATGACAACATATGCCTTTAATCCCAGTATTGGGAAGAAGTTCAAGTCATTCTCAGCTACATATTGAGTTCAAGGCCAGTCTACCTGGAAAATAAAAGATAAGTAAGAAACAGGAGACTTGAATCAACTTTTCTCAAGTATGGCATAGTATCTTAGCATCTGCTTTCTAACCTCTAAGGTTGTTGTGGGAGTATCTTCCGCTGCCTCAGCCAATAGTCGCTGAAGCACGAGCCCACAGTGCAGCGGGGAGCGACTTCCGCTCCGTCAGCCAATAGCCGCTGAAATACCAGCCCACTGGGGCGTGGTATATTTCTCTTTTAAAAAGAGACACAGATCCGGATCAGGCCCTCTTGGTTCCGGCGCTTGGTCCCGGCTCCTGCTCCAGCGACTATTGGCTGAGGCAGCGGAAGATACTCCTACAACATAAGGTTAAAGTGAGACTTTCATTATTTACTATTAAAAGCAGAGAATTTCTGAGTTAGTCTCAGATGCTCTCATCTGCTTCCAGGACTCAGGAGGCCCATAAAATGTAGCACCCAGGAAGAGCCATGTGATCTGGGAAGGGAAACATCACTTCAGAACACTGTCTTCAGAGATACCTTGGGAAATGCTACCCAATAATGACAAAATGAACATAAAACAACAACAGTCACAACAGTATGTGAATGCCATTAATAATGCTTCTGCCTGTGTGGCAGTGTTCTGGCGCCCCCATGCTGAGAAACTGACTATATTCCTTATTGATAAATTAGGGACAGCTTATGGTAGTCCCTTGGAATCAAATTTATATTTTTTTTCCCCTTGGGATTTTTGAGACAGGGTTTTTCTGTAGTTTTGGAGCCTGTCCTGGAACTAGCTCTTGTAGACCAGACTGGCGTCTGACTCCCAGAGATCCACCTGTCTCTGCCTCCCAAGTTCTGGGATTAAAGACGTGTGCAACCAATACCTGGCAAATTTTGAAAACTTTTAAATGTTAAAGCCAAGGCTAAAGGGAGAAAAGCTCTTACTACCAATTCTTTATAGCCACTCTAGGGGTGCAAGCAAGAGGGCCTTATTTTTCAGATCAAGCTAAATCACAGCACTGAACAGGTTGCAGAGTGTGAGACAGAGCAGAGCCCCAGCCTACACTTGTGTCCCTAGGCCAGAGCTTCTCTTACCTGGTTGCCTAAAGCCTAGAGAAAGCAGCTCCCCACCCACCATCTCTTCATCCTTCCTACTCTCTGCAAGAACTCATATGACCTTAGCCTCTCTTCCCAGGGAGCCTACTACACACAGCCCGTGTATGCCGCCCAGCCCCATGTCATCCACCACACTACAGTCGTCCAGCCCAACAGCATTCCCTCTGCCATCTACCCAGCTCCTGTTGCTGCCCCCAGGACCAACGGTGTGGCCATGGGCATGGTGGCAGGAACCACCATGGCAATGTCAGCAGGTAAGGCCAACATCTACCTAAGAATCCTTTGCTGTCTTTCAGAATTCCTCAAATTGGAGAATAGTCATGGAATTGACTGCAGCCTAGCATGAGAAATTATGTACCAGGCTAGAGGACTTTCCAGGAAGCCAAAGAGAAGATCCTCTAAAATTTAGAAATTTGGAGTATAATTTAAAGTCTAAATTATTTGAAGGGATAAGGAAGATCACACACAGATGGGTATATTGAGCAAGGCCTTGAATAATGGGTGAATGGAGGCCAAGCAGAGAAATGAAAGTGGGAAGGGAAGTACAAGCAGAAGGGTCAAAGTGTGGTACATTCATAGGATGGAAAAGGTTTAAGGCATGTAAGAAATGGGGAGTGGGAGGTAAGAGTGGAAGGGTGGTTGGCACTGCTGGTGAGGACATGATTGTAGAAAGGCTTGAATGTTTTCAGGTGAGGGAGCTAACAGAGCTTGCAATAGGGGAGAAATAGGGTAGGGTTTGAACTGACTGTAGGCTGGATTGGGAGAGATGTTAACAGTAGGTCTCCAGTGACAACAGGGGGCCCAGGCACAATGTTAATTAGCAGGCAGGAATATAAGAACCATTCCCATAATTAATTGTAAGAGCTGAGAGAAACAGGAGTCCCTGAAGCCCTTTCTGGTAATAAGAGCTTCTCTTAAGGAGCATTGGGGATAAAGGTGGGAAGTGTAGCCTTAGAAATAATTGGCACTCCCATGTAGGGCATAAAGATCAGAGAGCCGTGACTACATTTCAGAAACCCAGGTTTTAAAAAACCAGCTAAGTTGTGATCTGAAGAAAGAGGATAGCATGGTTGCTCAGTACACAAGCAAGCTACTAGTTATTTGCTCAGTGCCAGCCTAATTAAGGTCCTGGGAAGGAAAGATCCTTAAGGAAGAATAGAGCCTTGCCCTTACATACCTAGGTGAGTATATGTAGAAGATAGAGCCAGGAAAGATCATGGTTTCTACACATGTGTATGCAATAAGAGAAGCATGCAAATAAAAGGGGGATTTCCTAAGAGTAATTCTGTCTTCCAGCATCCCAAAAGACTCCTCCTCACCCTAAGGAGTGGAAGCCTGGCAAGGTGGAGGACAGTGCTCACCAGGCAGTCCAGGGTGATGGGGGCATAGACAGGAAGAACAGCCATGTAAAAGCCTTTTCCTCCTCTTCATCCTGTACCCAGGTTATGGGTTAGAGCTTACTCAGGTTTCCTCTTCTCTTGATGCCCAGGTACCCTGCTGACCACACCTCAGCACACTGCAATTGGGGCACACCCTGTCTCCATGCCCACGTACAGGGCCCAAGGAACCCCTGCATACAGCTATGTGCCCCCGCATTGGTAAAGCCTGCAACCTGTCCAAGTGAGTAGGACCAGGGATGGGGAGAAGGGAAGGGACACATGCAGGAACTCCCTCAAAGTCTTGGCTTGAATCTGGAGCACAGGCGTTGTAGAAGCAGGCAACAGTCATCACTTGTTACCTGCTCCAGGTTCTTTAATGTCACTCTTAATATTAGCTATTACTTTACAAATGTTACAACCCTCATAGTTTTTAACTCATGGATCTTTAACTGTGTTTTTTAGATACACAGTTCAAAATCACTGAGTCAATTAGATTGAGCGGGGGCTTTAACTCTTGTCCTCTATTATTGAATTCTATGCTCTTTATGGTCTTCAGATGTCTTTAAACTAGAGACTCAGTTCTTCAAATGAAATCTTGTCTAAATCATATACCAGCTTTGATTTTAGCCAAACAGAGACCCTGACCCCAGCTGCCTCACTGTCCTCAGCAGCTCAACATAGTTTCCATGGCCAGAGAGCCTGCTGCACCCCTGGGAGGTGCTCCACTTAGTTTCCCAAGCTCGGGGAGGGGGGCCCAGAGATTTCTCAAGCAGCCTGTGGAGCATCATTCTCTCTAACAGTGTTCCTTCCTTCCCCAGATCTGGAGTCACATTGTATGCAACTATTCAAGTCTTACACCGGTGCTGGAGCAGTCCCCTAGCAGCACCACCTCTATTTGCAAGAAGAGACAACAGAAGTGCAAGGGTCACTTTATGCATCTTTAATGATTTTTATTTTTATTTTTGGTTTTTGTAAAAGCTGCTTTTTCTAATCTAGGAGCCTCCCCCTCGTGCCTCCCTCTTAGCCACTGCCCTTCTCTCTCTCTCTACCCCTCTCCCTGACCAGGCCAGTTCTCTCTGCACTTCTTTCCTTCCCTAAGCATCCTGTCCCTGCAATCCCAGTCTAGTAGCAGGCAGAGAGTGAGGTTTATTGCAATGGCTCATCTAAAGGCTGTATTTCATTTGGAGAACATAATAGATGTGACTGTCAGGTCTGGGGTAGGAACTTGGAGCTGTTGAGAAGGTCACATCTCCGTCAGCTTGTCATTCTGCTGAAGCAAGATTACTTCAAATACAAAGAAATATCTTCTAAGAACCATTGCAAAAGACCAAGAACAAGCCCACTTGGTTATATAGGAATGTTATCAGCAGCTTCATGTCCCCAGGCCCAGAACCCGGGAAAGCAGAGAATTTGGGGAAGGGTGAAGGGAGGGGAGGACACTGGGGAAGTAGTGTGGAAAAGGGGCAAGAGGGTGCTCAGCTCTGGTTTGAAAGGTCTCTGGCCATATTGCTGGCCTGGACCTTCTGATTTGCACAGTGATGTTAGCTGACCTGGCACTTCCTCCAGAGATGCTATGACCTCATACCTGCCAAACAGTTGCATGGTGGTGGGATCCCAGCATCCAGAGGATTCGGAAAGCCAGGTGCCTGCATAATCCCACCTTCAGTCCGAACCTCATGGACCCACTCGAGGAGCTTTCTCCTCAGAGAGTGGCATTTCTCTCCCTTGTCCTTCTGCCCTTCCCAGTGCCAGGGTGCACATGTCTGTCTGTAGGGCTGGCATGCAGACCAAGCTCTTGGTTTTTACCTTCTGCCATTTCACGGCCAAAGTGAAGGAACCACATTCCAGGAGGGAGCTGGCGGTTCTGAAGGTCAGGATAGTGAAGGAAAACAATAGCAATAATCATTTCATACTCATGGAACTGAAGGAACCTTAGCATTCATCATCTCATCCATTCCCCTATTTGACAGATGAGGAAACTGCGGCCCAGAGAAGCGGAAGGACTTCTCTGAACCTTATAGTAGATTAGCATTAAATGCAGCCTTCCTACTTACTCGCATTTTGCCTACAAAAATTTAGCAAGGGATGGATTGGCTTGGCTTTGTAAAAATTAAGTCAGCAGTGTCCACATCTGGTGAGCTCTGGAATGACCTCTGGGCTTCTTCCTGCTATTTTCTCTCATGGACTCTAAAGGTGAGGGATTGAAGACTAGGCAGAGGCTACACAGGGCAGAAGGCAGGAACAGAAACTGCATTTGGAAAACCTATGAAGACATCTGGGATGTTTATCCTGAACCTGACTCCACCTCTAGGAAAAAAAGCAAGCGGGTTGGCTGGAAGGTGCTATGCACTTAGGATAGTAGTCCTTTATCCCAAGAAGAGAAGAATGGGAACCACCAAAAAAGGAAGACAAGGATGAGGCCAAGCAGATACAACCACATCTGGGAGAAGAGGAACCCCTGAGACAAGGAAGCCCTTCCTAGTCTCAGCCAGGAAATGGATTGGCCAGCCACCTTCCTGTGCCCAACTAGCCAAGCCAATAGCCACACTGGGTGGAATAGGAGTATCTTACTGTGTAAAATTGGATCACTGGTAACACCTGAGACTCGAACTATTTTCATTTTAAATTCATGTGAACTTGAACATCACCTTCTTCCTATTTCCCGTGTTCCCCTGAAAGAAAAAAAATGGAAGCCCTTGATCTGGAATGAACTCAGAAACAGTCTGACTGTTTCCAGGAATTCGGAGTCCATCAGCATCCATGGCAGAGAGCCAAAAGTTAGGGCTCCTACCTTCCTGGCCTTCTAGGAGCTTCAGGACCAGGAGAAAACACAGCTATTCTGGGGTACTGACAAGGTTTTTTTTTTTTTTTAAGACAAAGTTTTCCATTGTTAGTCTGCTTTTTACAATGCCTCCTTCTACCCTCATTGGTTTTGTAGAGGTGGATGAAGGTTGCTATAGATTATGTCTTAAATGTTTGAAAAATGCCAAAATAATAATGGTGGTAATAATTATAGAATACCTTCGCATGTGTCAGGTACTTCATAGATGTTAAAGCACTTCACGACTGCACTGGCCTTGAGAGCAAGCAGCAGGGTCAGTTATTCCACCTATTTGACAAATGTGAAAACAGATTCTAGAAGGAAATGAAATGGCCAAAAGTGAACTGTATGCTGGAATCCTGGCAGGTTTCCTAGACCCAGTGGCCTTCAGATGACTTGGCAGAAGAAAAAAAATATAGAGAGAGACTTAGGAATGGCCTCTTAACATTTGTTCTTTACACACCAGTAAGTAAACACTGTGCCCCTCACAGTTCATGTGGTTTGTCCCTGAGATGAAGGCATGATGCCTGCTGTTTAATTCATAGAGAATCCAAGGCTCAAAAAAGTCACATGTGTGACTTTCTGATAAGGAAACCCCTGCTGGCTCTAGTTTCTCCAAGCCTGATCCACACATGGGCTCACGTTCTGAAGCATCTATGCTCTGTACCTCATATTAGACCTTGTCTGTGGATTCAAGATCAGAAAGACCCCAAAGTGAAAATCAAGTGTTGACATGCTGTAATATAGAGAAACCAGACCAATTAACCTTTCTCAGTAAGAGCACAAGAGCCCCAATTTAGCTGGCTTTAGTTTGACAGAGATCAACAAGCCTGGCCAAGCTTGAGGAGGGAGCCATGGCAAACAGACTGAACCCTAGAACACAGTGTGTGTGTACCGTGGGTTAGGTGAACATAGCTCTGGCAGGGTCATAGGCACCTAGCAAGGGTGCCCTAGTTATCATTTAAAGATTCTGGATGGCCCCAGTGGTCAAGATAGATGAGGCCAGAGCTGGAAAGGGCCCCTCATCACAGGACAAGGCACACTGGCATCACCACACACACCTTGTTGACACCCCTGCCTTCCCCAGTGCAAAGCTGAAGTAGAGGTGGATCTGTTCACCAGCCTTCCTTGGTGCCATTTGATCATCTTCATCGGTCCTGGGCCAGAAAGTTTGGGTCTGAGAACTGGACTACTCCCAGTGAGTGAAAGTCTGCAAGTCTCTTGCCATGCTTTCAAAACAACAAGTTCTTCCTATGAGATAAAATTCTTTTTCCTTCTTAATATTATAACAGTGACTCTGAAGTGCATACCCCTCTTCCCTGAGTATTCATCAGGGACACACACATCTATCTGTCCAGACCTCTTTTTGTACATAAAGTACTTTGATACTGATTGCCAAAACCTCTACTTTAAAGATACGGGCGGGGGTCATCATGCTCTGAAGGGATGAGAGACTTGCCTGAGGACACATAGCTCTTAAGTACAAGAGCCAAGACTAATCATCTGTTCTTCTGCTGCCTCCTGCTGGGTTTCTTGAGTGTAAGCATGCTTGAAGAAGGAAAGGACTACTGCTGCCCACAGAGGAAGCATTTATGGAGACTTGGGGGAGCTCCCATCTATCAGCTGAGCAGATTTTTGAGAATTTCTGCTTTAGGCTGAGACTTGTAATGGGCCCTGGGGGAACCTAGAGGTAGATTCAGCAGAGAAGTTGCCACAAAAGACCTAACTCAGAACACCAAATGTGACACTGCCCAGTACTGAAGATGATTGAGGACAGAACCAAGTATCTTTGAGCAAGGAGTCTTGCTTCTGAGAAGCCTGCACATGTTGGCTCTCTTGACTCCTATCCAGATCAAACAAGGGGACATGGCATAAGTGTGAACTTCTGAAACACATTTGACTGGAGTCCTCATGCTTGCTTCTCCAGTGAGAACCAGATCCTAGAAAGGCTAACTAGGCTCCATATGTCCCAGTGCTTTCTGGCCATCTAGATGGTTCCATGGTTGAGACCTAGAGGTTTCTTTGGAAGGCTTGATGCTCTGTCCTAATAGCCTTCAGAAATGAGTCATGGGGAGCATCAAAGTAGGATAAGTCTCATGGTCACCAGTTCTAGCATCCTTATTGTGCAGACATGACAGATCAAACAAGGCATTCGCTGAACCAAGCTAAGTTGCCTGCATATCAAATATCTTGCCCCTGCTATGGGCTCTGCAGTCTTCACAGCATTCTGGCTGAATCAATCATTATCCCATGTGTGACTCATATTCAGCGAGCTCTGCCTTTCCATCTTGTGTTAATCATATCACTGCAGAGTATGTGGCCTCCATACTTGTCAAACTTGGGACTCTAGAGAAGGGCAGCCAGGGTCGGAGTGGACAAAGGGGAACAACTCAATCAAGAAACTTAGCCAGGCTCTTTGGTCAGATGACAAAAGAGGCTCTTTGGTCAGCCTCTAGACAGAGTTCTGTGAACATGCCAGGCTGGCAGCAGGCTTGTCTTTTTCCTATCCCCCTATTCCCTCTTCTAGAAAAAGCACTCATGAAATTTGGTATTATGTGGTTCCACAACTCAATCTTTGACATTCCCAGAAGGCCAACTTCAACATTCCATGGCCAGATTTGCCTGGGCCAGACTTGGGTCCCATTCCCTCGGTTTCTCCAGCAGGTATTTCCTAATTTTCCTAATTTTTTCTGGCTGTTGATACCAGTCAGAAAGCCAGCCAAGAACACAGGAGTTAAAACTGGTTGCCACAGAGCCAAAGAGGGACATAACAGTACCTGCTTCACTGTGGCTGGTAGTCCTTAGGTATCCCTGGTGTGACAGTGTGTCCCTTTATCCATTCCAGCTTGAGGGACACTTTTCTTTCCCAAGAGAACAGATAAAACAGCTTCACAAATAGCAGCCCACAGGAATCAAATGAGTGAAATCTGCTTTGGGCTAAACCCTAGCATCCTCTATCCTTGACCCCAGCTCAGCCATCTTCCTCATGCATGAAAATCAAACTAAAGAGTAGGACTGGCCCAGAGACCTCAGGTCAGCCAGATCAACTGGATCTGTCTTATGAACCATGCTCCTTACAAGGTGAGGCAAGACTAGGCCTCCTGCACCTTGAAGTTGTCTTTAATCTTTGAAGGCCCAGGGCCTGTCCCCTTCCTGTCTTCAAGGCATCTGATCCCTCTTTCATATCACATGACAGAGAAGCTTGTTCTCATGGCATATAACATCCCTGTGAAGAGAGCGTTGTGTATGATTTTGTATTTTCTATTCATTTTAACCTACAGGTTGGAATCTAATTTTTAAATTTTATTGGAACTCACATTTTAAAAATGAAAACATTGAAAAATAGTTATTATAATAATAAACCTTTGACCGGTGTCTTCCAAGTAGTTTGATCAAATAATTTATAGGTGTTTTCACAGCCTGGAGTGTAAAAATTGGAAAGCCCTGTGGCCACACTTGTGTGTATGAATTGTAAATCTGGCTTTGTTGATTTGGATTCCTTTGAGTTTTGTTTTGTTTTGAAGATCAGATAGTGATCACTCTGAAAGGTTGAAGCCAAGAGTTTGTAACTATATGATATTTACTGTAAGCTGTAGAACATTCAACAACTATTAAAAAATGTTTCCAAGAAAAAAAAAAAAAAACCCAACATGTGGTTCTTGGGTGAAGGCCGCACAGATAGCCTTGGGCTAGTGAGCCCCTGCACTTCTCTCCCAGGCAATTCTAAGTTTTTTGGGTTTTGTTTTGTTTTGTTTCAACATGTTCTTAGTATACATCTGGAACCCCAGTGCTTTGGAGGCTGGGGTAGGAGTGCAACATGAAGGTTTTGTGTCTAAGCCTGGGAAGATGCTCAGTGGTTAGAACATTGGTTACTCTCACAGAGGGCCAGGGTTTGAGTTCCAGTACCCACAGTGGTTCACAACCATCTGTAGCTCCTATTCCAAAGGATCCTGTGTGGTGTTCTGGTCTCTGGGACACCAGGCACATGTGGTGCACTTATAACACGCAAGCATTCATAACATAAAATTCCATACATGCATGAGAGAGAGAGATTCTGTGCTGTGTCTTGGGACTATGGATCAGCAGGGACTATGGGCGCTGTGGAGTGTCATCAGCACCTGGGCTAGACAATGTGGTAGAAACCAGGGGAGGCTGTTAAAGAAGTGACATGTAGTCAGGCTGGAGGATAGCTCAGTGGTAGTGTACTTGTGTGGGAGACCCCCCAAGCACAAAAAAGAAAGGGAAAACTAATAACAAAAACCCTGCTATTTGTTGAGTGTCTTGTGGCTAGTGCTTGTTGCTCACTTCTGCTTGTTGATCTCTGAGGTCCTCATGCTCTGCTGCAAGAGAAGCTCTGCTATTTGTTCCATGTGGGAAAACCGGGAGAGCAGTTAAGGAGGAAAGAAGGGCCTTAACTAAGGTAAAGCTGAAATTCATACTTTGCCTAGTTCCAGAATCCATGTACTACAATCCATGTTCTGCCCATCTCAGTGGAGGTGGTTTCTTCCCCGCCCCCCTCCTCTGTGTAGCTTGGAGCCTGTCCTGGAACTCGCTCGCTAGACCAGGCTGGCCTCAAACTCAGAGATCTGCCTGTTTCTGACTCCCGAGCACTGGGATTAAAAGTGTGCCCCACCGCCCAGCTAGGAGATGGTTTCTTAAAGAATGGAGACTTCCTTCTCTCAAGCAGTGAGGGAGTGTCAGGAAACCAAGGGGGACCATTAAAATCCACAGGGCCTCATACAAGCAGTCATTAAGGACTCCTTTTTTTTTTTCCTGCTGTGCATTTGAATCTTCTGTTCCTCCCTGCTAATGCTGTTCAGGCTTTGTCTTAAACTACTTTTCTATTGTGAAGGCACCTTAAGCAAGGAAACTTATAAAAGATAACCATCATGTTGGGGAGCGTGGAGCTGGAGCAGTGAGTAGTTAAGAGCTCACACCTTTATCCAAAAATAGGAGGCAGGCAGAGAGAGAGAGAGAGAGACAGGAGCTACCTAGGAATGGCATGGACTTTTTTAACCTCAGAGCCCATTCCCAGTGACACATTTCCTCCAACAAGGCCACACCTCCTAATCTTCAACCAATTGAACCAACTGGGGACCAAGCATTCAAATGAATGAACCTTATGGGGCCATTCTCATTTACAATACAACAGGTATTCTTGAGCCATCCAGCCATTTTTCTTTCTCAGGGCCTGGTCTTGACAATTCATTTCTGAGGCCAAAGACTCAATATGTTCAGTTGTAGAAAAAAGTGGCCTAAAGTGATCACTCCAAAAGATGACAGGTGTGTGACACTGTTTCCTCTATATTGCAGAAGATTTAGTAATGTTTGAAGACCTTCCACGGGCTAGAGGTGCAGCACAGAGACAGGACTTGTCTAACTTGGGTAAGTCCTGAGTTCCAATCCAATGCTGCAATGGGGTAGGGATAGGCCTACTGGACCAGTGGACATAGCTTGACCCATTCTAGAATGGGAACTGGAAATTGGTACACCTCCCACCAAGCTTTACTCTGCCTCTTCATATACTCCCATCCTATTTTGTACAGGATCCATTTGGAACTGGTGAAGGGAGAAGACAGAGAGCTAGGAGGTTGGACCCCAATGCCTACTCTTCCCTCCAGTTCCACCTTAATAGGGAGAGGGCTGCTGGGATTTGTAGGAAAGTTTCCAAGAGAAGGTGGGGCTGTGGAGAGTGTCACACATCTGCATCATCTCCCACCGAGTTGGGAAATTGCATGATACAAGGAGCCGGATGGTAGTAGTGCTTGCCTTTAATCCTAGGCAGTTGGATCTCTGTGAGTTCAAGGTCAGCCTGGTCTACAGAGCTAGTTCTAGGACAACTAGGGCTGTTTGTTGTACAGAGAAACCCTGTCTCGAAAAACCAAAAAGCAGCAAATGAGGAAACAAGCTATTCTTTGAGCAAGCAGGAGCAGGGCAGAGTACTGCTCATAGTGATAGGAGCATCCTTACCAGTCTGGAAGCCTGAACATATTTCCACCCTGACTGGTATTTGAATGTGTCTCTAATCTAGCCTTCCCAGAGAATGGATGGGGTCCCACCTCCTGCCTCACCCTCCAGGAAACACTCTTATCCTCACACACCACCCAAGTGGGCTGTGTTATCCAAATCCTAGATAAGTTGGGGGCATGAGTTGGCTAACTAAACGGACAGGCAAATTTGACAAGCCAAAGTCTGAGATAGAGCAAATGGAGTGCCAAGTGCACCCTGAAACCATAGGGACCATTTTCTTGAATACACTGAGGGAAACTGTCTACACCTAGTTCATAGAGGACCATGTACCCAAAGGATATAGGGAAAAGCAGGGATACTTAAAACATGTGCCCATCCTGTCAAAGGTTGTTTTTCTTCTCCCCCCACCACCATTCCTGGTACTGCTAGGCCAGCTACCTACCATGGTTTCTGCCCAGAAAACTGTCCTCAATGAGGTCAGGCTTTCTGAAGCCCCAGCATAGCTACCTGAACCCCTTCTTGAGGCCAGCCTTCCACACCTCACAAGTTCTATCAATTTCTAGTCCTTCAGCCTCCATGGGACAGCCAGTAGTTTTTGCTTTTCTTCCATGTGGTTTTTGTTTGTTTTTCAAGACAAGGTTTCTCTTTGTAGCCCCTAGGCTGTCATGGAACTCACTCTGTAAACCAGGCTGGCCTCAAACTCGCAGAGATCCACCTGCCTCTGCCTCAGTGCTGGGATTAAAGACGTGCGCCACCACTGCTCGGCGCTCTTTTCAGTATTAAACAGTATACCATACATTAACAAAACCCCACCAACCTGGTGGCTTTGATATGGGATGGTGTTCCTTGATTGTCATGGTATTGGTTCAGCTCACCAAGCAAACTCACCAAGGCCCTGTCCACCCTGCCCTCCACCCCCTAGAATACATGACAGACTTTCTGGCCTCTTGGCTAGCTTTTCCCTTTATTGGCCACCAGGACCCTGATGGCTTTCTTATCACCAGGCTCTAGGATCTTCCCTAAGATCTTTTCCTAAGAATGAACCCTCCCTGCCCAGTTGGCTGTAAATGCCCTCCTGAATGTAAGCTATTTCTGCTACCCAGATCTGTCTCCCCAGAGCTTCAGGGCTTCATATCAAAACACCTTGGACATAACTAGGAGTCAATCCCCTGACTTCTATCCCATGAGGAGTCCCAGCAGGTCTGCTCTGATTCTGTTTCTCCTCACATGTTGCCCAGAGAGCTCCAGCAGCTTCCTGCTTTCTTCCAGTGCTCCTGTGCAACCAAAAGGACCAAGACTTTGTCTCATCCTAACAGCCATGGAGAACCCTTAGTTCCTCCCACCTTTGGTCTGGCCTTTGCACACGCTGCTTCCCACTTCATGAAACACATAACCTCCCACAGTCTGAGCTTCTACATGTCTACTGCTTCCTGTAGAGCTATTGCCACTCATCACATGGCTCTTGTGCCCTTGAAACATATTTAGTTCATATCAAGATGTATAAAATATAGAAGACTCTAAAGTTAGAAATAAAAGCTCGTTCATAATTTTCATAGTTATTTTATATTGCAATGAAAACATTCTGAATATACTGGGTTAAAAATATTAAAATTAAGTTTACCTTTTTAAAAACCTTTTTGGAATGATTATTAGAACACTTTCAATCACACACATGGCTCAGTCTGTATTTCTATTGGGAAGCCTGGCCTTTGGGGACCTTGGTGAGAATGAAACAAGCCACCTCTGCCTGTTGCCCTGGCTTCAGAGGAAAGTACTGAGGAAGGGAAGGACACTATTTCAGGCCCCTGGAAGCATGAGGTAAGCAAACAGGTTTCCAAGGTGGGAACAGGGAAAGGAAGCGCCTCATGATACCACTTTCCACCTTTTATTACTCAAGTGTGTGGGGCTGGAGATGTAGGGACAGAGCAGCAGCAGGTTTCAATAAATAAGAAATGGGATGGGATGGACAGTGGGCCCCGCGCCTGCGCGGCCCCACATAAATAACCAGGCCCTGAGTCAGAGCAGAGACTAAGGCTGGATTGGCAGTTAGCCCTGCTACCAAAAACTCAGGCAGATACTACCACAGGAGCATGGAAACCACAGACCAGAGGCACTTTCTAGGCGGCCATCTTCCTCTCCTGGCAGCTCCAGAGTTTGAAGGCAGCAGGGTGGCCTGGGGCTCTGCACCAGAGCCTTGTGCAAGTCAGGTCATTTTTCAGTTTCTTTAAAAATAGCAGGGTAGGGCAGGCACATGCATTAAGCCCCTTCTGTAGGCATTGCCATAATAGTCCAATGGGAGCCTTGAAAGGCAAGGCCCAGGAAGCAGCAAAAACAGGCCAGATAAAGCTACTAATAGGAGGGTAGCAAAGTCAAGCTCCCCCCAACAGAACTGGACTTTTCTGTAAAGAACTGGAAAGGTCCTGGGAACTGAGCTCTCCTTCCTTCACTTCACAGTCAGAAAAGCTGGAACCTAGGTACTCTGCCACCAGTACAGGGCTCTTTGCTATCCAGGACATGGCAAGAGTGACTAGTTCCCAAGGCACAAGCTGGGGACCAGGTACAGACACCACTCCGCCAAACCAGACTCCTAGAAGACAGAGGGCTCCTATGTGTTCAGGACAGGCACAGGTTAGGGCACCCTGCAGGGAATTGACTAGGGCTGCAGGAATGGGTTGGGCTCTTGATCTCCTGCTCACTTGCTGTGCGGTGAGCTGCTTCCTCAGTGGGGCAGACGGTCCCACCTCCAGGCCTTGGTCTTTGCTGTTTTGTCTGCTAGGCCTTTGCATCTTGGTCCTCGGTCCCAGCTGCAGCTCTCTCTCTCCTGCAGAAAGCCTTCAGAACCTCCCAGAGCAGGGCAGAATGTCTAACTCTAGACAGCCCATCAGATGACCAAATTGCTTTCACTTAGCCGAACCACATAGCGGTTCTCCTGGGGATCAGGATTGAGGGGTCAGAGCTAAGTCAGACAGTCATTTGGGCTTCAGAAAAGTGGTATCTACCCAGAACTCCCCATACTGCCTCCTTGGGTCTTTGTTCTGTCAGGGTTGACCCAGGTGCTAACAGAAAATATCCCCCCAGCTCTTACCTCTACCTTGTTTTCTACTGGAGGCTTCAACCATTTAGTATGGCTCCCACCACTTCCCAGCAGTGCCCGCTGATCAGGGGGAAGACTGGGCTGTGGGGAGGCAGGAAGACCACCCCCTGAAGGCTCAGCCTCCATGACAGTCTTCACTTCAGATGACAACAAACTGGTTCGCTGCTCAGGAATGCGAGCCACACGGAACCTATAGGGAGAGGTGGTACCAACAACCCATATCAGAGAGATCCTAGGACAGAGAAGGCACCTACGAGGTCACACGGAACCTATAGGGAGAGGTGGTACCAACAACCCATATCAGAGAGATCCTAGGACAGAGAAGGCACCTACGAGGTCACATACAGCCTTCACGATCACAGCTTGAGCCTATTGTACTGTCCAATAGCCCTTCCTAGATCCCCAGAGACAAGGCTGCTTGTGCCCAACTCCCAGCAGCCCCACATCTAGTTAGAGGTGGATACACCAAGACCCTGCCTCTGGGACAAGAGCTCCATGTGAGACAGCACAGCTGGGAAATGGTGACTTTTTTGGCCACTCACTACCCAGAAAGGCCCAGGAAAGGCTGGTCAGCACTAAGCTGACCCAAGGACCTGCTGATCTCCAGGCTGACAAGTTATTCCCTGACCCTGCCATGTCTGTGCCCACCTTACCTTCCCACAGACAAGATGGTGATCTCACCCTGACGTCCTGTCTTGGCACTAGCTTTGGGAGCCCTGGGTGGATTGGACACGAGGGTGGGAGCAGGAGTGATGGTAGCTGCTGCCTCAGGAGACAGCAGTACTTCTGGCCACTTCTTCTGGCTACAACGGGAGCAGCAGGAGCCAGAGAGTGAGGCCAGGCCCTGCACAGTGTGGAGGTGGTGGCGATGTGGACAGATGTGTGGCATGCTGGGGGAGGCTGGCAGGAGCCTGCAGGAGAAGAAATAGAAATGGTCACTGTGGCAAGCCAGGGCAGGAGTCTCCATCAAGTAAAGGGACACAGGTAACATGATAAAAGGGAACAGAGTCAGGTAGGGATCCCCAGGAGGCAAGCTGATTATCTGAAGGTCCCACCACTCACCTAGGTACAGGCCTGTGGCTTGTCTGGACCAGCTGTTTGCTGTGATAGTCTTTCAACAGCTCCTCCAGGGCTGCTGCATTCTCTGTGGGCAGGTGGAATGAGAACCCAGCTCCAGAGTGAAGGAACGAGCACCCCACAGCTCGGCAGATAGCCCTTGCCTACTCCCATATCCCTGTCCCAGAGCCCTTCCTCCATCCCTCACCAGTCAAGATCAGAGTCAAAAATCACTCAGCATCCAGGGTTGGAGTACCAGTCAGGTTGAGGCTTTGATCTGGGGAGGCAGAGCTAGGCAGGACTTTTCCCAAACATCCTCTAAGACTCCAGGAGGAGACCCCACACACACACTCCTAGGCATTGGGTAAAACATAAAGACCTTCTCTTCACCTTTCTTCTCTGTGATCAGGCGCACCAGGACTCCAATGGTGTCCTCATTGGCATCCTCTGTCCTATAGGCGGGATTGATCCCTGGAGAAAAGAAGAGTTCATGATTCTAGGAAAGGGATTCAGGGCTTCCAAGCTACACCAGGATCTGCTGACAGAGGACATCATAGTCCTTGCTCAGAGTTGCAGCAGAATCTACTGTGGTGTTCAGGTGATAGGACCCACAGGCCCATCACCTAGACTTAACTCTATCCCTGCAGACTGCACCAGCCTCTTCTGGGTGGGCACTGTTCCTTTCTTGGCCTTGCTCAGAACTCCCACCACCTTTCCAGGCCCATTACCTCTCAGCACTCCACCTTCTCCAGAGAACTACTTAACAGCTCTGGGCTTAAACCTTAAGGGTGTGAGAATGGACCATTGTGATGGGTCCTGAGCCAGCAGCTATTTCTAAAATTGGTACTCAGGCAGCAGTCAACACTTAAAGTCACTAGGCTAGCAGAAGAGTACAGTCCTACAGAAACTAGCCCTGACTCTGAGCTGGAGCTCAATAGTACTTATTCTTGCAGAGGAGCAGAATTCTGTTCTCAGTATTCACATAGTAGCTTAAAACTGTCTGGCTCTACTTCCAGGGGAATCTTAAACTATCTTCTGGCCTCACTGAGCACCAGATACGCACCTGCTGTATGTATGGATATACATACATATTTGTCAGGCAAAATACACATACATAAAATTAATTAAAATTAAAAAAATAAAATATCCCAACATAACTTTAAAATGGCTCTGACTTGCTACCCTCCTGCTCACTCCCTCAGTAATTTAGGGTTAGGAGTTGGAGGGGCTCTGGAAAGCTGGCATAGGAGAGGTTGTGTCTCTGCTCACTTGGCCAGAAGGTTCCTGACAGCCCAGAGAAGTGCATTTGCCCAGAAGGTCTCTACCCTTCAGGAGACATTGGTCAGCAAAAGAAGCAATGGGCCCAAGGCCTTCTGTCTCTGGTTCCAGTACTTGTATCTCAAACCACAGTACAGCTGAAACCTGAACCTGTACAGTGCCTGCCAGCCCTCCTGATGCAGGCATTCTCCTGCTCCAGACCAGAGGCCAGAGGTCACTTTGAATCAGACAACTTGAGCCTGCTGCCCCTGCCAAGTCCCAATCTTGTGGAGCAGGGCCTCACCCAGGTAGAAATCTCACCAACTTGACCAGCTTAAGACTTTACTTCTGCCTATTGCCATAGTTCAGCCCCTTCTAATCCTCCATGTCAGTCTGTCTGCACTGTTGCCATGGAGGCTGCTGCACAGCACCTCCAGGAGGCCTTCCTGATTAGCCCTCTGCAGGCTTCTCCTGTCAGACCTATAGACCAGCAAGGTCCCTTCCAAAGTCCCTAGCCTCCCACCAGGTCTTACCACTGCCTCCTCCTCCAGGGCTGGGCCCAACTTCCTTATGGGCCGTGCAGTGGTAGCCCTTTCGCTTGAGCAGGTTGCACACCAGAATCCCCAGAAGCCCCATGAGGCAAAAGACAGGTACGATGGCAATCACGGCATACTGGGCAGCTGTCTCCTCAGGGCCGCCTGCCCGAGTGCCATTCCCAGACTGCCGAGGCTCACTGTTGCTACTGGTACCTGCTGCCACTTCTACACCACGCCGGGTTCGTCGCCCTGATTCTGAACACCATAGAGGATGGAAGCAAGGCAGCAGAGAAAAACATACAAAGAAGTTGCATGGCTGGTACTGTCCCTTCTGAGCCTCAGAAAGGCTCTCTGCCTGACCTGCTGTGTCTGCCCACTTCACCATAGACACAATAGTAATCTTGCCCTGCTGTCCTGCCTTGGCCTAGCCTTGGGAGCCCTGGGTAGGTCGGGGTAGGAGGCTGGAAGCAGGAGTGATGACAGTAAGTCCAAGGACCTGAGCACAAAGCTGGAGGAAAACTAATATCCCAAGACAACCCATCTTGCCACACTTGGGAGACAAAAGTCAGCTGATGCCTTTCCTCCTTGATATCCAATGAGGCTTCTTTGGGTCTCAACCTCTAATTGCCCCTCATGCTAGGGGTATGATATGAACAGATAGACACATATGGCACACTCCTAGACAAAGGGACACAGGGTTCCTACTCACATGAATTAGTAGCCTCAAGAGGTGTTGGCTCTGGTAAGAAGCCATGGGTCACAGGTAACTACAAAGGCACAGGTGCATGCTCACATGCACCCGTAGGGCTTTTATGGAGAGGACAGGGACAACAGGACCGAAAAGGCGATGAATCCCCAATCCTCATGGTAGCCACCAGATGCTGGATGCTCTCAATCTCTCAAAAGCAAGGTGGCTGACCATCTAGACACCTGACTGCCTGACCTCCTCTGGGCTGGAGAAGGACCCTATTGTTCCCACACGAATGCTGCATGGACTCTTGGGCTCAAATTCACTGGCCCCCTTTGCTACCACACCATCTATCACATACCGTCACAGCCACCAGTATTTGGAGGTGCCTTGGAGCATGGCTGACATGGAACATGAGGAACTCCCCGAGATCCAAACCATCTGCAGAGAGGAAAGATGTCACTGAACTCCAGAAGTTAAAACGTGTCCTTAGAAAAAACTGGATTCCTTCCTACCAAGTGCCCTCAATGGTGCTACCAATCCATGTCATAGATGGGAAGCGAGGACCATGAGGGAGCAGTGGGCCAAGAGCCCAGCATGAGCCCCACCCTCACCCTCTGCTTACCCAGGCTGGCAGTCTCCACACACTGTATCATGAGTTGATGTGCCAGCCTGGGCCTCCAACCTCCTTCGAAGGCTGCAGCGATAATGAGGCTGGCATGGATGGGAGTCCCATAAGACTGAGAAGGTGCCTGGGGGGCAGGTTCGGCATAATGTGCCCTGCCCTGGGTCCTGTGGGAGAGGAAAAAGATTACAAGGCCAGGAGTTAGGCCTATGGCCCTGAGCATGGAAGTTTAGGCCTCCCTCTGCCCTCAAGAGTCTTCCCAGGATAGGGCAGTGTATTGCTCACCAGGTCAGGTTCCTTGCCAGGTGGACACAGCCAAGGAGTTATTGATGTTAAAGTGGCCAGAGGCCAGGGCAGCAGCTGGAAGAATGCAGGTGGAACACAGAAGACGTGGCCACAGAGGAAGAAAGTGATAGGCATGAGGCTTCAGGGTCATCTGCTCACTACAACTTTCTGAGTGAATCTCAGACCACATGGGCTCCCTACCAGGGTTCAGGCACACTCTAAGAGCCTGCCTCTGCCATTCTGCTGCACTACCAGTATCTAGGTAAAGAAAGAATTATATCTGCTTCTGGAAAATATTGGGAAGCCCCAGACAGGATCAGGACCTGAAGCTCTTGAGCATCTGAATTATAGCTCTTTCAGATGAGTTACACTCCTCACCCCAGACAGATGAGGAGGAAGTGCTTCCGAATTCTTCTGAGATTGTCTCCCTTCCTGCTGCATGCCTCCCCCGCCCCACCCCCAAGCTGAGCATGTCATTAACTACCCTCTGTTTATCCTGCCTACAGCCAAGGCTGCAGCTGGCGCTTACCTACTATTCTGGGCCCTGGGCTGAGTCTGAGACCACATTCTCCTCTGTGACCTCCCCCTGTGCCACAGCCACCCCATTCATACCCTGCACTTAACAGGGCATGCCACGTCCCAAAGGAATGCTCTTCTAGATGTGGGTCACTAGCCCCCTCTCTGGTGACCCCCTCTGCTTCCCACTCAAATGAACAAATGGACTACCTGCCCAACTCCTAGTATGGGAAGACCCTGTTCTCCAACTTGGCCCCAGCTGCTAGGGTAGAGGGCACCAAGAATGGAGATACCCTAAAGGCAGAAAGTCAGACCTAGCCACCAGCACCTGCTAAGGCTGGAGGCTGTCTCCTAGAGACCTCAATCTGCCATCCCTGAGCTTCCACAGCCACAGTAGAAAGACCACACAGACCCCAAGGTGCTCTGACTCCAGCCCCAGAATCCGAGCTTCCCTAAACTAATACAGACCCTATATCCAGCATGAGGTACTCAGTCTTTCAGGTCCCCTCCTGCTCTGCTGGCTTTGCCTCACACCTGCCTGAGGCAAGTACCTTGCTTTCAGTTGCCTGCAAATGCTAGGAAATCCCCCTGGGTCATGTGGAAATTGCTTGAATCCCTGGCTTGCCTGTCTCTTCTAGATTGCCTGTGTTTATGGGGTCACAACTGCATGCCAGGGAGTGCTAGTAGACACTTCATTGGGCAGTGCCTGCACCCTCTACCCTGGAGCACTGTAGTGCATGCTCAAACACCAGCTAGTCTAGCTTCTCTGGGGCCCTTCTCCAACTCACCACAAAGAGGCAAGACAGGGGCCAGCACAGCAAGGTCCACTTCATCGGCAGGCCCTGGAGTGACATTGACCTAGGGCAGATAAAGGAAGCTCAGAGGAGTGGCCAGAGCAGGCAGGAATGTCTTGTCTTGCCTCCCTCCAAGCCACATTCAGGATGAAAGGACTGCTGTTGGGTGCTAGGCAAGCACTTGCCCTACATGGCAGAATGCAGGTCTGAGTAGAGGTAGGACTGACCTGTCTAGGGCCAGCCTTCTAGGCCTGGCTGAGGCGGGAGGGAAGCTGAGGGTTCTATAGCTCAGGAGGTTTCTCAAAGCAGGAAATGCTTCCTTCCCCTTCCATAAACAGCCAGGTGCCCTGAGGCATCAGAGGGGGGCAAGAGGAAGGAAGCTGAGGAAGGCCTGGGCTGGGTGTTTAAGATGGCTGCACCACTTCTAGCCCTGCTCTTATCTCCAGCCTCTTACAGCTCCCAGGCCACTCTCACGCTCTGCCTTGAAGGCCCTAATCCTTCAAAGCCAACTCTGTCACAGGCCTGTTCCTCCTCTGCATCTCTCCCAGGGAGGCCTGCCCATGTGTCATGGCAGACCTGGGAGGGAGGGTTACCATCTGGCACTCAGCCTGCTGGAGACCAGACATACTTCTGTACTAGGGAATTAGGATCACCAGTGTGCACAGGGAGCTCCATCTCAGAAGACACTATGGCAAACAGATTGGATTCAGAACAGACAACAGTTCATGTGTATTTCCCACAGGTGGGGTGGGATGCTCATCAGGCCTCAATACAAGCTATGAGCAACCTCTGAAACCAAAGGGTGCTCACAGACCTAGCCCTCCCCCACACCATTGGACAAGGGGCCACAGGCTGTTTTAATGCCAAACCTGGCAGAGTACTTGTTGCTTGCAGGAGGTTCCAATCACAGAGCCCCCTCTCTGTTGGTAGCCAGGCTTCCTGGCTGGAAACAAGAGTGGAGCAGAGGAAACCTATCCACCACCTGACCTGGGCCTGGCCCCATGAATACCACAGTAGGATCAGGGATTAAAGTTACACCCAGGAGAGGGGGAGGAGCTGGCGTCACATCACCCAGGGACTCTCCAGGTCACTGGCAGCAGGCCCCTCTTGGGCTCCAGGCCAATTAAGATCAGGGACAGGAAAGGACAGCTCCAGAGTAGGTAAAGGCCACATGTGGCAGTCAACACTCAACAGATGGCATTCCTGACTCATTCCTTGACGTGTCCCTCCTCAAATTCAGTCACAAAACTGCCTACCAGGTTCTGCACCACAGTGCCCCCTCCAGACCATATTCCATGGCCTCTCTGCAGTCCTTCAGAAGATCTCATCATCACAGACTTGACTACAAACCCCAAGTCTCCAGGTTGTCACCAAAGCATGCTCCCAGCCCCAACAGCCCTTTGTGTCCCCAGGCAGCCCACAGAACTAGGACAAGGGGAGAAAAGCAAGATGAGGCCCAGGACCACCCGGACCCTAGCAGCACCTTCTGGGTGAGCTGAGCCACAAAGAAGCTCTGCAGCTGCTCATCTGCAGACAGACCAGAAATCGAGTGATCTGAGACTTTCCTGTCCTCAGAGCCGGAGTGGGCCTACTCAGGCATACCCACTACAGCCGCCGCCCAGCATCCCTTGCCTTCTAATTATGTACCTTCTAATTACCACAGAACTGGCACTTACCCCAGTCTGGCTGCATGGCCCCACTCAACCAGACTGAACCCCTCCTGCCCATCTGCCTGCTCAGGCACATGCACACATGTGCATGCCTGCTGCTGCAATCTCCACCCCCCACCCCCCCAGCCCCCCACCCCCCGGTCCTCTAGCATCGAGCTACTACCCTAGAAACCCATGAGAAAACAAGGTTAGAGAAGACCCTAGGTCAGGAGGGGAACAGTGGAGGCCCCCCATACTTCCCTTGTCTAGAAGGCCAGACAGTCAGTGATACCTCCAAAGCCTAACACCTCCTGAAGGCTGAGCTGAGAGAAAGAAATGGGCACACTGCAGCTCAAAGGTGGAAGGTTAAGCCTGGAAAGCTCTTCCAGCACAGCACCAGCGTACCAGAGGGAGGAGAGTTACCCTAGTGACACGCAGTTCAAGGGGCAGGTTCTAGTGGAGAAGGAAGTTAGCTCACAGGCCACTCTTCATCTCCTAGCCTTGAATGTCCACACAGCCACTAACTCCCTAAGGGACCTGAGCCCCCAGCTTCCCTAGCCTTGGCTTCCTTGTCTGCAGCGTAGGTTGTTCATCTTCTGTGGCAGGAGTCTGTCAAAAAGCATAGCCCAGGTAATGGGCCTCCTGCAGGTCACGGGACTTCCTCCCCACACTTCCAGGGGTGGTAATTAAGTATTTGTTGGCTGGCTTGTTCACTGCTTGTCCCCCAACCAGACAGCAGTCAGGGCAGGGTTGTCTGTTTTATTGACCACAAAGCCCAGCACCCAACCCAGGCATGGAACTGGAGCCTCAAGGGGGCTTTCTTAAACCTAGCCCTCTGGAGAAAGGCCCAAACAATCAGACTAGAAATTCCCCAAGTACAAGCCAAACTAGCGAAGCTGCAACAGTACTCCAAACTGCAGAAGCTGCCAGTAGCAGCTGCCCCAGGGAGGAGCAGCCCCAGAGGCCTCACAGAAAGAGGAAGCTGTATTGCCTGCCCAGGCCCCAGGCGACTTCCTCTTTCCTAGAATCTGTGGGTTTACCCCTAACCCCAGCCAAGGCCCCCCAGCACACTCCCTGAGAACTTCCAAGGCCTCTGTCTACCTTTTCTGACCTCTAGATTCACCTTACCTGCAGCCTAGGTGTCCTAACAGATGTGGGCATGCCCTGAGTCAGCTCCCCCACCTCAGAATGGTGTCCCCACACACCCCTGAAAAAAACCACCTTACACAAACATGTACATACACACCAGCCACCTTTGGATTCTCTCTCAGCAACTTGAAGCTTCTTTCCTTTGCCCAGAAACCCCTCCCATCACTTTTGGCCAACACCTACTCTTCCTCCAGAAAGTAGTTCAAAGTCACTTCCTCCTGGAGGCCCCAACCACCACCCCTCCCCTCAGTAATGGTGTCATTTACCCAGCCCCCTTTCTTCCCACAAGCTGTCCTCTGTGCCCAGTGCTATGCTGGGTGTGGGCTGTACTGGTGATGAGAAGTAGGGGAGATGTCTTCAGAAGACTACCCAGCTATGCCAGAGAAGAAGGACAGGAGGGAACTCACTGATGCTAGAGAAGCCCAGAGGCGGGTCGGTCTTAACTTGCACCTGAAGCCCTCTGATAACCTGGGGAAACATCACTGAACACAAGCTTGCCCTCCTCTGCTCTGCACTGGCTGGGAAGCTGTGGAGCCCCTTGCAGACAGCTCATGTGAATGTGAAATGAGAAAATTCACATTTAGTTCTCAGCACAGGACTGGCACAGAGTAAGATCATGCCTCACTTTCCCCATTTGTAAAAAAGGAAGGGCGCATATCTGACCAGCAAGTGTGAAGCATGGGAAATTCTCTTCTGTAATTATGATCAATGATTAGCAAGGGATCAAGTACATAAGAAATACCCAGCAGGCCACTCTAGGGGTATAGGAGAGGGGTCTGGGAAGACTGGTAAGCAGAGTCAGGTCAGGCTGAGTTTGCACTTTTCCCAGGGCCTATAGGAACCCTGAAGCATAGAACAGAGGTAGCGAAACCTTGTGTGATTTGCCTTTAGGCAGGCAGGTGAGCTGCCAGCCAAGTAAGAGCACCACGGGAGAGGGAGGTGGGGTAGGGCAGGGAAGAAGGTAGATTCGTTTCCTGGCCTGTGGCTTCTCTGCTGCATCTAGAGGCAAGGGTTGCCTGGAAACAAATCTGGACACAAGCCTTCCTCAGCAGTGACTATGCCAGGCAGCAACAAAGGCAACATCAATAGAGGGACCCAGTGGTTCCCTGGCAACTAAAGCTGAAATAGGGCAGTGCCCACACTGGGTGCCAGCTAAGGCTGCTAGACATTGCTGGCTTCCCTAACAGAAGGTAACAGACCTCAGCAGGGCACTATCCCTCACCACACAGCTTACCTCCAATCCGCAGCAGAGGTGAAATTCCCTTTTCAGACTTGAGTAAACAGTTGGGGGAAGACACCCATGAGGATCCCATAGTACTAGGGAAGGAACGGAGCCCAGGACTGTCTTGTCTCTGCCTTTCCAACCCTGAAGCCTAGTCCTGACTCTGCAGACCCAAGAGTGCTTGCCAATCTCATGGTGAGAAGGCTAGTGTAGAGTGTGGATGGTGACTCATACAGACAGATGGGAGCTCAACTGAAGGTCTACTAGAAAGACCTAGGTGAGGCCTGGAGGAGGTGTGGTCCCCACCTGGCAGCCTCAGAGGCCTCTCAGAATGGCCTGCACCCATGCCCTTTTGGATATTGTGCTAGTTTATACCAGGTCACATAGAAAAGAACATTAGAAACCACAGGAACCAAGAAGACTGGGGAAGTCTGGGAATTCCCAGAGGTAGGAAGGGCAGCTCCTAGGGCTGCTGTTGAGGGTGAAGGCCCAGAGAAAGCTGCTTAGGGGCTATGCAGAAAGAAGGGTGTCCCGCTCCCTGCTTTCTTCCCGTGCCACCCACACTTCAGGGCAGTAGGAGCTGGACACGGCTCTGTTCATCAGGCCTGCATTTCAGCAGCTCAGGTGGTAAGGCAGGTAGGAGGGGCTGAAAGGGCTAATTGACTCCTTAAGGCTAAGAAAAGGGCTGAGGCAGCCGGATCTGGCTCTCCCAGCTCCTCTGGTCTGAGTAGGAAATAAATGAAGTTTTCCTCCTTCCTGGGACAAGTCTAGGGATAAAGACGGTGTCTGAGACAGCCGAGGCAGTCACCCCCAGGACAGAGCTAGAGTGTCCTATGTCACATTTCCTCTCCAGGCCGGGTCCTGCTGGATCTCTCAACACAGGCTTCCATGGTCCATTGCAGGGACTAAGGCTAAGCGAGCTGAGCAAGGGCTTGGTCAAGGGCTAAGGCGCCTGCCACCAACATTGAATGATCTGGGTTCAGTCTCTAGAAGGGAAAGAACTGGCTCCAGCAGGTTGTGCTGACTTCCACACCCAGCCAATACAAATTAAACAAACATTGTAACAAATTTTTAAAAAGAACTTGGTCTGAAAGGTAATAAGATTTACCAATCCTGAGAGAAGGCAAGCAACAGCCAGTTCACAGTTCACGGTACCTCACCTGGAACCCCACTGCTTTCAAGGATTTGCTTTAGCAAATACCTTTAAGAGTAGGGCAGTGGTAACCACACCCATAATCCCAGTACTCCAGGCCAGCCTGGTCTACAAAGTGAGTTCCAGGACAGCCAGTACTATTACACAGAGAAACCCTGTTTTGAAAAAAACAAAAGAGAAAACAACAACAACAACAAAAAAACAAGAACCATACAAGGACTGCCTCTTCTGGCCCTAAGACAGGACAGCAAGGACCCAGGAGGAAAACACAGGTTCTCCCCCAGTCACGCTGCTTCCGCCCGCACCCCCCACCCCGCCCCAGAAATCAGCTTAGCTGCTGCCCTGGCCACACACCACCACTTTTTATTGCATTGCTATTGAGTCAGGATGGCCTGAGACTGCTCAGCACCCACCCTGACTCAATCATCCCAATTTGGTTGACTGGAACAGAAATTTAAGGAAACTGAGGAGAAACCACAAGGTTCGGGTTCCTGCTCACTCTCCAACATCTTAGATTCGGGTGCTGGGGAGTGAGACCCTACACAGAGGAGGTGTGCTGAGGCCTGGGTGGGCATGTGTATGATGTTAGTGCCAGCAGGGGCAAGGCCAGCCTCTGAGACAGTCCACCTGAGCTGCAGCTCTGGCTGTCACTAAGTGAATCTGTGACCTTGAACAGGTCACTTAACCTGTCTTGAGTTTGGGACCTCAAAGGATGTGGAGGGCATATTTGGATTTTCACTTAAGCAATGCTCGCCAGTCAGGCAGTGGTAATGCAAGCTTTTAAGCCCAGCACTTGGAGGTAGAGATAGGCAGATCTCTGTGAGTTTGATGCCAGCCTGGTCTACAGAGCAAGTGCCAGGAAAGGCTCCAAATCGACACAGAGAAACTCTGCCTCAAAAAACCAAAAAGAAAGAAAGAAAGGAAGGAAGGAAGGAAGGAAGGAAGGAAGGAAGGAAGGAAGGAAGGAAGGAAGGAAGGAAAAAGAAAATAACAAAAAAAGCAATGCTGGCCAAGATCTACCAGTTCTTTTCGGTTTTGTTGTTGCTGTTTTGGTTTCAGTTTTTTTAGTTTTTTGAGACAGAGTTTCTCTGTGTAACCCTGGCTCCTGGAACTTACTTTGTAGACCACACTGACCTCAAATTCAAGAGCTCTACCTGCCTCTGCCTCCTGGGTGCTGGGATTAAAGGTGTGTGCCACCAATGCCCAGCTAGCACTACCATTTCTAATACCACAGCCTCACAAGGGCCATTGGGAGAACTCAGGCTCAAAACAAGCAGTGTCCCGTCAAGGGCGCCAAGGTGCTTCGGTGCCTAAAGCACGGCAAGAGGAACCCAAGTCCATAAATCTCAGCAGCGTGAAATCCAGGTAGCCATGCCTTGGAGGCCGATGTGCGCTTGCTTCCACACGGCTAGAACCAGAGGGTCAGAAAAGGGACAGTTCCGCGGTTCCCATGCAGCCCCACCTGCCATACTTGGGTGATCTCATGGTATAGGGAGAAGATCCAGAACACACAGGCTAGCAGCAATGC